ATTATCATTCTCTCTCTCTTTCACAACACAGAGAGACAGTGTTCTTTTTTTTTTTTTTGTTTTTCATCCTCTCCACAATGTATGTTTAATGATTTGATAATGATAATGATTCGATAACCGATATTGATTCGAATTTTGATTACCATATTCTCTCTCTCATATGGTTTTCTCTTCGATTCATCTCAACACTTATCACCATTCATGATGATGATGTTGATTTTGGATGGCTCACCATCAAATCAAAAAAAAAAAAATGCAAAGAAATGTAACATCTTTTTTTGTTCAACAGGTTGTTGTTTACTTTTTTTTTGATCACATCATCGTTAATGGTTATAATATATTATCTATTCACATTAAATGGTGGTATTTTTTTCTGCCCGTAGAAAAGAGAATCTGTTTTTTCGGGTAAAGTAAAGTAAAAAGAAAAGAAAAGAAAAAATGTATGTCAGTAGTAGTGGCAATACATTACCAGATTTATCTTATCATTGAATGAAATCAAAGAAGAGTCGATGAAGAAGAAGAGAATTGATGAATGCACACACACACACACACACTTTCATATGATGATGATGTTTTGCGATTTTGGAACTATGTCTCTGTGTGTGTTTTTTGGGAGATTTTTTTTTTCGATTCGAAGAAAAAAAAAGAGAAAAAGCGATCCATCAATTGAATTGAATTGAAAGAAAAAAACAAGCGAGAGAGAGAGCGAAAGATTTCATTCAATTTTCATTTAGATTCACATTCAGTAGTTATTTGATGATGATGATGATCATCATCAAAGATTCGAATTCGAATGTTATGTTTTACTGAACGTTCTATATATGTACAGCGCATCGGTTTTTTTTGTTCCCCAATCACTAATGATTTGAATACGAATGTTTTTGTTTTTGTATTTTTGTGTTTAAACGACGTGTTTGATATTTTGTTTTGTTTTGTGTTTTTTTTTTGCAAGATTTAAAAAAAGATGTGAAATGATTCGACACCAATAATAATAATGATGATGATGTCAATATCGTTGTTGTTGTTGATGTGGTTGGTGACATTTAATAATTGTTTACGATTCATGTGATGAATATTCTCGTTTTATTCATCATTCGATTTTGATTTCAATTTTTTTCCGTTGTTGAGAACCGGCTAATAATAATATACAATCCTATCATCAGCATCATTTTTCTGGACCGGCACAAAAGTGGAAACAAGTTTCCGGCTTTTGATCACACCAACACCAACACCAACACACACACACACACCCATCGCCACCAAGTGCCAAAATACAACAATTTTGAGATCTTTTTGTTCATCACATCAGATTGTTTGTTTGTTTGTTTTTTTTTGTTCATATTTCATCAATCATCAATCAATAAAAAATGGCAATAATAGAAAAATTTTGGAAAAAATTCAATTTCATCTACATATGGTTGATGATAATAACAACGACCAGTGTTTCGAATCATAGACAACAGCCACAACATTATCCATATGATGATTTATTATCCAGTACTTCATATCATCTATCAGGTTTGTTTTGTTTGTTTTTTTTTTTCAAAAAAATCCTTGATCTTGATCTTTTTGTTGGTTGGTTTTTGTTTGTTGAACACAAAACAAACTAAATATAAATAAATAAATCCAATCCAATCCAATCCAATCAATCAATCGATACATGTCAAACAATGTATATATCGATATTATATTTGCCAATATTGTCCATCCAATTGAATCGATAAATTCATTGAAATGAATTGAATGAATGAATCTGTTTCCATTTCTTTTGATTGATAGTAGATGATAATAGTGATAGTGGTAGTATTGATCCACTTGATTGATTCAGAATAATGATAATGATGATGATGATAATAATAATAATAATAATAATTTATCATAGAATCAATCTGGTTGGTTGGTTGGTTGATAATCTACCAACCGAATCGAAATCTCGAAAGATCTTTGAACAGAGTCGTGCGCCATATGATGATGTTGATAATGGCGGCTGACTTGAAAATAATACAATTCATAATTATTAAAAAAAAAATATGGTCGGTGATAATGATAATGTTTGTAATGATGATGATAATCAACCAGTGTTTTTGTTTCTTTTTCTTCTGTGTGGTTTTCAATGTTTGATGTTATGTTATGTCTACGATGATGATGAGTAATTTTTGTTTTTCATTTTTCTTCCAAAGATTTTTTTAATCACATTTCGATTTGTATTTTTTCTTTTCTTTCACTTGCTAAAAATGGAATTTGTTCTTGTTCTAGTTTTTTTTCAGTTTTTGCTAAAAATTTTGCTTTGTTTCTAAAATTGAAAAATAAATTAATTCGTCTTTATCATCTACAATCGAAGTTGAATGATGAAATTTATCATTTGGCCACAATGAACAACAATATTTTCTCACTGTGTGTCGATGATGATGATGAAATGATCCAATTTTTTTTTTTGTTGTCTAATTTTCAGTCTCTTAATTATGTAATATATATGTGGTATATTTGAAATGAATGGTATTGAAAATCCATTTTAAAAAAATATTTTTTTTTTCATTGTATTGCAAAATATCGATGATAAAATCAATCAATTCAGTGATTGATGTCCATTTCATGATGATGATGATGATGATCTATATTTTCAACATCAAAGAAAGAAAATGATCATCATTTTGATTTCATTGAACGAAATTCAAAAAAAAAACAAAATCAATTCAAATGTACATGAATAAAAAGGTATTTTGTAACCGAAAATGGTGTGATTGGATGAAAATGAAATAAATCCAAACATGGATATATAGAAATGGATATTATTATTGTTGTTGTTGGCCCGAAAATAAAATGGGCGCCTATTTCGTAATCATTTTCTTTTTCTTTTTTTTCCAAAATAGATTTTCAAATTCAAATTTAAATCGATCGATGATGATTATAATCTGATGACAATGATGATGATGACACATTGAATAGCAGTGTGACAGATTCAAATTGTTCTCAATTTGAATTTTGAACCATTCAATACTTTCGTTATATTGAAAGATTGAAAGATGAAAAATAAAATTTCATCGAGAAATTTTCCAGAAAACAAAAATCTTGCTGAAAAATTTCTTTCGCATTTATTGATCAATCGGAATTCAAATCAATTTTGATAAAACAACAAACTGACAGGATCAAAAGTGTTGAATAAATGAGATTTTGGACTCTATTGAGTTTTGTTCAATTATTTGCTGGATGTATGGATGGATGGATGGATGGATAAAAAAAATCCTGTTCATCAAATTGTGACTGTTTGCTTGCTTCAATTTTTTTTTTATTTGGAAGCCAAGTTCAAATATTTTTTTTTTGGGTATGGATGATTATGGTGATGGCTAGCTAGAAATAATAATGATGATGATGTGTGTGTGTGTGTATGTGACTTAATACTAAATAACTATGACCATACAAGATTTTTGAATCAAAAAAAAAACTTGATGGGATCTAACGGGATTTTTCTTTCTTTCTTTCTTGTTTGCTTGTTGATCATCATCATCATCATCATCATTGCATGGAATGGAATGATAAACAACAACCGACCGACCGACCGACCGACGGATGGATGGATATTTTTAGCATCATTATCATGATGTTTGAAGAAAAAAAAACTCTGGACAACCGATGCTGATGATGATGATGAAAAAATGTTTTTATTTTTTTTCCTCGATTATTTTCATTGCTCATGATGATGATCATTCTTTTTTTTGGTCAAAAAAATCTTTCATTTTTTTCGCTGTTGTTTCTGTGTATTATCATTATTAATAATAATAATAATCCGTTAAGAATGATGATGATGATGATGATGATGAAAATTATGCTTGAATTGAATTGTGAATTGAATGAATGATGAAAATGAGGGTTTTTGCCTTTTTGTTGTTGTTGTTGATCAAATCATCGTTGATCGATTATCGTTGAATACAACTTGGTTTTTTTTCTACTTTTTCATCATTTTTTTTTTGAATGATGATGAGAATCCCAATGATCAGATTGATGTGTGTGTGTGTGTGTGCGTATGCGTGTGTGGTTAATGGTGAAAATGATGGCAACTAAAAAAAATATACAGTGATGGTGGTGACCTTAATTTAATCGATATGATGATGATCATCATCATCATCTAGTTGGTCGGTTATAGTCAGTAAGCCAAAATGCACATTTGAAATTCTTTTCTCTCACACAAATTGGTGAAATGAGAAGTAAATTCCATTGGGATTTTTCATTGAAAATCTAAACAGGATGAAAATGAAAGAAAAAAAAACTAAATGTAAACCTTATTTGAACATATTATCATTAACATTTTACAGATTCGATTGTTGATTGTTCAATGTTCTTGATGTTTTTCTTTTCGAATATAATAACTCTCTCATAATACACACACACACACACACAACTGACTAATTTATTTGTTCTGTTTGCCCATTAATGATGATAATGATAATGGTTAACGATTATATATAGGCCGATTACCAGACGATCGTGTCGTTGTAACCAAAAATACATTTTTATTTCGTTGATCGCTGTTGTTTTATGAGAAAAAAAATATCACATCATATCATATATGCATCTATATAAATAGTGAAAATTCAGTCAAACAAGAAAAAAAACAAAAGTTTTTCTTCGATTATCGTCATCAATCAGTATATATAAACAAAACAAGAAGAAAAAAAAATCGTTAAAATTCATCATCATCATTACTATTATAGTAGTCATCATACGATTGTTTTCGATAAAGTTTTTTTCCCTTTCTATTACTTATTTATTACTTACGGAAAAGTTTTCTTTATTCGGAAACAAAATCAGAAAACAGAACGGAATTTTTATCTTTCAATCATCTAGTCATCGATCTTTTTTTCGCCGTGTTATGATGATGATGATCGAATTTTATTATTATTCAGCATCATTTGATTGATTGACTTTGATGTTTGACTGGGTGTGTGTGTGTGTGTGTTTATTGTTATTTTTCTCCCTATTTCAAATGATGAAAATTTAATTTTTATTTTTATACATTTTTTCCAGGTCAATCATCAAATCAATTACAATCATATCGATGTCCATTGGATGAAAATGTTCCGAAAAAGAAATTGGTCTGTTTCTATCGTGTTGAAGATGAATATCGACCATATGATCTGGATCCATGTCTTTGTACACATATTGTCTATTCATATGTTGCTGTCAAAGAAAATTTTGCTTTTATTGCCGGTAAAAAAGGTTAGGTTTTTTTATTAGCACTTGTTGTTGTTGTTGTTGTTGTTGTTTTCAATTTATCAATATTTGATTCGTTTTATTTTTGTAGGTGACCTAAAATATCTATCGGCATTACGGAATAAAAATCCAATGGTCAAAATTATCGTATCATTACGGCCTACGGGCACATCATTTAATTTGGAAGATTCAAAAAACATTACCTATCCATTGCCGGCATCGAATACATTACGTCATCGTTTCGCAAAACGTATTCGTGATTTTATTAATCGCCACAATCTTGATGGTGTTGATATTGATTATGAATATTTTAAAATGGAAAACAATTCCAATAATCAAAAACGTCAATATCTTATATCGATTATTCAGGTTCGTTTACTTGCTCTCTAATCGATAGTAACCGTTCATTAAATGAATTAATGATTATTTTTTCATTCTGATCTCATTTCAACAACACCACCATTAAATAGTCAATAAGCGAAAGTCTTAAACAAAATGATGATGATAATAATAACAACAGAACCATTCTAACATTGACAACATCACGTTATCCAAAACATTTAGCCGATTATTATGATTTTGCTGAAATTAACAAGTAAGTTGTTCAAAAATTTCTTGTGGCCTTGTTTTTCGTTAACCCATTTTTTTTCTTGTTATTTTTAAGATATGTTGATTTCGTAAATTTACCGGCTTTTAATTTCGACCAAGAAGGCAATACATTGATTCATCCAGCTAAATTACATGGCATGTCTGAAATGGAAAATATGGTGAGTTATTCATTTCAACTTTGTCCAAATAATCTGTGATAATCGAAAAAAAATTTTCATTAGGATGCAATCGTTGATCTAGCATTAGCATTAGGTATGCCTTCCAATCAATTGGTGATTGGTGTACCAACATTCGGTACATTATATCGTATGGCAAATCAAAGTCAAACGACGCCTGGATCGAAAGCAATCGGTTGGATTACAAATAATCAACCAATCACTACAATTTCTCATTCAAAGGTTTTTTTTCGTTGTTGTTTTGTTTTTTGAATTTTTCAATTACTTATCATTTTCAAATGAAACCAAAAATAGATCTGTGATGTTCGTGATAAAGTTAATTGGACATTGGTACGTGAAAAAGATCTAACAGCACCGTACATTTATAACAATGATAAATGGATTGGATTCGATGATGAAATTAGCATCAAATTAAAGGTAAAAATTGGAAAAAAAATTTTGCAATTTTTTTTCATTACAATTTTTTTAGGCTAAATATATTGTACTAAGACGAGCTGCTGGTATGGCATTTTTTCATCTGAATGATGATGACTTTCAAAATCAATGTGGTCTTGGATCATATCCATTACTACGTAGTGCATTGTCCGTATTCAATCAAGCTAATGATGATATCAATGTCAAAAGTCATCCATTGGCTTTCTTCAATACAAGTCAACAATATTTTCAATCATTTTTGGATGTCGTACAAAAATATGGTAATGTTGAACGATCAACCGATGATGATGATCAAGATGATGCTGGTAATGAGGTGATATTACCTTGTAATCATAATGGTTACATGAGACATCCAGAAGACTGTACCAGGTTTTATCGTTGTATGAAACTTAATATGCGTGATACCAGTGTACAGAAATTACATTATAATTGTCCACCTGGTCTGGTTTTTGATGAATATTTCCAGATCTGTAATTGGCCATCATGGTCACCAACTTGTTTAGGTTCGGGTGAAATTTCATCAACAATGCGTTCAAGTTTTGTTTGTACAAAAGCTGGTTTCTTTCAAGATCCCGAGAATTGTGAATATTTCCATTATTGTTCCGATTTGGGTAAAACCTATCTGCAAGCATATGAATTTAAATGTCCATTTGAATTGGGTTTCAACCAGGACACACTTCAATGTAATTGGAAATGGATGGTAAAAGGTTGTCAATATGTACCGCCGGAAGAAAGAATTGTTAAAGATTTACATCAAATTCTACCACAAGATATTGGTAGTGGTGCCAGTGGTGGTAATGAGGATCGATTAGATCAAATTGAACCAGCAGCCAGTGATATATCGGCAATGATTCAAGAGGTATTGCGTGCACAACAACATGCAATAGCAGCTGATGATAATGATGATGAACAATTTATGGATGATTTCGAAGAACGTTCCGATCATGATGATGATCGAATTGCAGCACAACATGATCAGATACCAATTACATTACCGGATTCTAAAGATCAATCAGAATCATCATCTAAATCGAAACGATTTTCCTATCTAAATTTATCGAAAATTGATGAAATCTATAAACGAAATCCATCATATATGGCAAGATTACAAGCCATTACAGCATATTTTTCATCATTAATGTCTAAATTACGATATTCATTTTGGAATCCAGCCACTACTAATATTAATAAACAATCGATTAAATCACGAGCCGATCATCTTGATCAACAACAAACGAATAATAAATGGCTAAAGAATCCATTCAATCGTATGATACCCAAGTTTCCAAAATCATTGAAAAAAACTAAACCAGATGATGGAAATGATAGAAAACGAAAATCATTATCAACAGAAACGATGAAGGTGATGACGACGACAACAACTACACAACGTCCAACAAGACATAAGAAAAGTGTTTTCAATAAAGTACCACGATTACCGAAATTTTCTAAACGAAAACGAACATCGGATAAATCATCGTCGTCATCAGCTCAGCAACAGAATCAGAAAACAATGAAAAAAACTGGTCAACATTCTAATAAAAATTATCATCCATCCACCTATAGTCAATTGAATATCAATCAACAAATGCTACCAATGTTTATGGCTGAAGAAAGTATTCATATGCCACAATTTGTTCAACCACCACAAATGCATCATTTTGATAATCATCATCAATCATTAGCAACAAATTCTTATCGTGGTCCATCATCCAATGTTAATCCATCATCATCATTTACAATGATGCATCCGGCTGAATCAATAATCAAACCAGTTTCTGTTCCTTTATCATCATCATCATCGAATACAGTGGCCAATCAATTTAATAAATTAAATCAATTTCATCAGGCCAATTTACTTAATGATTATCAAGTAGCTAGTAGTTCATTTTCAATGAATTCTTTTGCCGAACCACCGCCGAAAAAGTCAATGAATAATTTTAATCATAATCAAAATCTTGATGCACATCAATCAGCACCAGTCGTGATGATTGCTGCCGATAATGGTGGTGGAACAAAACCACAATTATATCATAATTCATATGGCCTGCCATCGGTTAATATCCGTTATTCATATCTTAATAATGAACAATTACAAGCAAAAGCTGCAAATTTACAGAAACCAACAGTAGCAAGAGCACCATTACCACCGCCATCACTACCGCTCTCAATACAGCCTGCGTTATCACCTGGTGGTGTTCCAGTGAAAATTGAAGCGACAAAAATTAATTTTCCCGAACATATTCTTAGTGAAGAAGAATTAAATAGTGCCGATTTGCAATTGGAACAATTTCTTCGTACAAAATTTATATCAACATTACCATTTAATAATAAACAATTATTAGCACTGCCAGAATCCTCGTTGCCACCACAATTACAGCGGCCAAAACCACTGCAAACTACACATGCACCACAACTACGACAATTATCAACAAAGCCACAATCACAACCTTTAAATCATTATCAGCATCATCATCAATTACTTGTACCACAACATAATCAACAATCAATAGTCAATAGTGCTGTTACCGGTCTACCGGTTACGTTAACCACAGCAAAACAATCGAATCTAAATTCTGTATTGAATCGTCATGTTATCAATTATCATCAACTACAACAACCACCGCAGCCACAACAACAACAATTCCATTATACATCAACACCAACGACATCGAAACCAAATCAGATGAATAAATTTTCCAGTTTCATTACCTCAACGGATTGGTTCAATAATGAACGGCAGAAATTTTTCGAACAAAATCGGGCATTACAATTACAGAAACAACAACAACAACTTCAACAGACAAGAACAACACCAACAACAACGACAACGACGACTACAACACCACGTCCAACAATTCCAACGACAAGGAAACCGAAAGTTATTGCACAACCACAATCATTTAGACCAATCATCTCGGTGCCATTACCGACATCGAAAACACCGGTAAATTATAAATTAACACCAATTACTGATAATGTTTTTGAATTGAATAATAAACAGCAACATCATCATCAATATCAACCATCAAAACCAAATCGATCATCATCACCAAGGCCAAAGATTTCGAAACCTATAACTACAACAACAACTTTGGCATCATCATCATATCATGATAGTTATGATCCACATATGATAAATCGCCCAATCGAATTGGTTCGTAGTACATCGAAACCACAAATAAAATATGATTCATATGAATGGACAACACCATCAAGTTTAAAAGATAATAAAATGCATGTAGATTTCAATTTAATGTCAGCAAAAGATATTGATGATGAAATTAATAGTAAAAAACATTTTTTCAAAGATGATCATTCACAAGGATCATCATCATCAGCATTTCGACCATTAGATCGACCAATACAGGATTATAATCGTCATAATAATTTTTTCCCACCAATCGGTGATGTATTCGAAAATTATGCTGCAACATCCGAACAACCAAAAGCATCGACACAATCATTTGTTCATCAACCACCGCCATCATCATCATCATCATCATCGCCATCGACTACGACGACAAAATCAATGTATACGACAAGCTATGATGATCATACAACACCTGTACCGTGGTTATCAACACATCAAACATTCAATACAAATCCATCATTACAGCTATTAGCAAATGCTGCAAACATCAACGATACAAATGAATATATAATGTTAATGTTGAATAAAGCAGCTGGAAATGATCCAAATTTAGAAAAAGTTTATCTCAGCTATTGCAGCATACGAAAAATATTGGAAAATTTTATAATGTTGAAAGTGATGGTAATGCTCAAACCATATTGGCACTACTGCCTGATAAACCAAACCATCGTCGACCATTTGTTTATAAAGGTGAAAATTCATTGCTTAGAAATCTCAGCCTCTATAATGGTTTGTTAGATCCGAATCTTTTGCCACCAACTGGTGATCAGATTCTTCAGAAATTGGACATATCGAAACCAGATTCCGATGTGTTACAAGCAATTTTTGATAAAGTTAAAGATGAATTACATGGAACCGAGAAATTGATTCCATATGAAATTGATGGTATTGATTATTCTGGTGGTAGTGGTGGTGGCGGCGTTTCAATGCATCAAGCAAGACGCATTCCACAAGGTACAAGTGGTGGATCATCGTCAGTTGCCGATCGTTATAATGATGTTTCAAGAAATATTTCACCATTTACCAAAGCATTTACAATACGAACAACAACGACTACGACGACGACAACTACATCAAGTACAACCACGTCTCCACCTACAACGACAACAACAGCAACATTACCAACAATTAGTCCAACAAGACAATCATGGCCATCACTGGATCCATATGATGATAATAACCGAATAATTGTACCAAATTATCCAGCACCAAGAATGCCGACTAATCGAAGTTCCAATGTTTGGTATCAGGATGTACCACGTTTAATTGATAATAATTTTGCTGATATTAACGGTGCTTATCCAGATCATGATGATGACCAACCTGTTGTTGTTGGTGGCTATACGACCGAAGAATCACGAACACGTAGCAGTATTCCAACTACGACAACAACAACAACTGCAGCTTATACACAACCACCATCAACGACAACAACATCGACAACTACAACTGAATCAACAATTCAATATAATCCAACTACACAGAAATCATCATATCCATATCGAAGACCGGGTGGTGATCAACATCGTGGTCGTCGACCAGAATATGGACATAGACAACGTGGACATCAATTACATCGACAGCCACAGCCACAATTGGCTAAAACAACGATAGTACCGTCTATTGATCATCATCATCATCATCAACGACAACCAGAAAGTACAAGATATTCAAACCATTTTGGACAAAAACTTCGTGTTGGCAACGGTGATAATGATCCAACCGTTGATGATATTAATGATTCAGATAGAAATGTTTTCTACGAAGAAGAATTGCCAAATTTTCAAGATTTAAGATATCCTGAAAATCAAAATTATCACCATCATCATCAACGACAACGGTCATCGACAACATCGACGACGACTACTACGACAACAGCACGGCCAACAACTACAACACAAATGACGACAACATCAGCGACAACACAACAACCAATAACAACGGAATCATTAATCAATTCAATTGAAAATACTTATTATCCAGAATCAACGATACATAATCTAATGCCCGATAAATCCGGTATTCCGGAATCTGCATGTACCCGGCCTGGTATATTCCAACATCCAAATGATTGTAATAAATATTATGAATGTTATTGGGACAAACATATCAACAAATTTACATTACATCCATTTGAATGTCCAGTAAAATTGGCATTTGATTCACGTATAATTGGTTGTGCATCACCTAATGATCCAACGGTGTGTGTGCAGTATTAAAATCGATCAATCATCCCAATGATTTTTTTTTCTCATTTATTTTATTCTCGGTGAGCCATTGATTTTTTTTATCTCTCTCTATGTGTCTAGAAGATTCTGATTTTTTTTTCCATTTCGTTTCGTTTCAAAAATTTTATCATTCATCCTCCCACCTACCAAACAGATATGTATTTTTTTTTGTTTTCTCAATTTATTCTTCATTTTCATCATTTTTTTTGTGTTGTAACATTCAAGTCATTTTTTTTTTGTATTTATTGAATAATGATTTTGCTTGATATTTTCTATATATATACACACACACACACACACACACACACACACACACACACACACCTTGATCATATTGAACAAACAAAAACAATAAACAATAACGACAACATTTATTTTATTATTGATAATCCATGATGATAATTAAATTGATTTTTTTTTCATTGAAATTTTAATTTCTCATTTGACATTGAAAATCTCAGCAACGTTCCAATTTAGATTGTCGTTTTCACCATCGTTATCTATTTTAAATAAATAGGGCCCATGAATAAGAGGATAATCTATTGTTTTCGTTTCTGTTTTGATGACGATAATAATAACGATAATGATAATGATTTGATGCAATCGAACATAACCACACACACACAACATCGGCGACACGATATAATCACCCTAATCACCATTAACCATTAACCATTACACCTACGGGGGCAAAGAGAAAAAAAATGATGATGAAAACAATTGTTATTTCGCCACCATATGGCCAACTACTACTTACTTATTTTTTAGTTATTATTATGGCTGATCCCCCAAAAAAAAAAATCAGACAACAACGAAAATCCAAATGATGATGATGATGATGATGTTTTTTTATGAATGTTTAAAGCAACAACAACAACAACAACAACAAATAAATAAATGGCGACAATCATCATCATCACACACGTAATTGTTCATTTGATTGGCAAAAAAAAAAATTTCAGTAGCTCAAGGTCGACCATAAATAAGATTTTTTTTTGTTTTGTTTTTCAAAAAAAAACAAAAGATGAAAACAGAAAAAATCAAATCATTTATCAGCATCCTGAATTATTAAACCGTCGTAGTCGTCGTCGTTGTTGTTGTCCATCGGGCTAATATGGATTTAGCCGCAATAAATGATGATGATGATGATGAACATCGATTATGATTTTTTTTTTTACTTCAAAGACTGATTCAATTGGAATGGCCAAAAATGACGACGACGACGACCATTATCACATCATCATCATTGTTGTTGTGGTCAAATGTGTGTGTGTGTGCATTTGCAAAATTTCCAGATCACGATGTATATGGGGATTGAAATCATTATTAGTTTCATAGAATGAAAAAATTGAATTTTCACAAAATGTCCACATAAAAAAAAATCATTCATAAACTTGAAACCATCTGATGATTATCGAACTTTGAATAATACTGCAACAAAAAAAATACACACACACATGCGCGTAAAATGTTCAACGACGATTATCGTCGTTGTTTGTTGTATCGTGTGTATTGAATTGTCGTCGTCGTCGTCGACGTCGTTTTAAGGGCGACCAAAAGTTTTTTTTTTTTCTTAATCATTTCAAATGCACACAAAATCGTCGATTATTATTATGATCATAACGATAATAACCTTATTATTATTATTATTGTAAAATGTGAAATGATTTGAAAATGAAGCAATTTTTTTTTCTTTATTTTCTCGTCACATGTGAATCGTCTTCGACCTAGAAATTTTTTTTTTTTTTTGACAACAAAAAAAATGAAAGGTTTTTTCAAATTATTATCAATATAATACCCGGTTTGAAAAGTCAGCAGCTGTTCCAAAGTTTCGTGTTTCATTAGTTTTTTTTTTCATTTAAACAAAAAAAAATCAAAACAAAAACCATATATTAATTGAATTCACCACCAGATGTCTACACTATCCGTTTTGTTTTGGTTCGATTATTCAATCAATTTGAAAGATTCGCGAATCTGATTAAATCCATGATCCACGAGAGAGATTAATTTCCTAATTAATTTTAATAATCGAATGCATATCATTGATACTGATACAGTTGCTGTTATTGAAATTTTTACCATGATAAGATCGGATCAATCAATCAATCAATCAATCAATCAATCATTCATTCAACAGGTCCACGATGAACAAACAAACAAACAAACAAAAAGATCGATCAATCAATTGATCCACAACACAATGTGAACGGAAATCATTTCATCGACATTCAACCATTTTCAATGAATCAAAAATGATCACGAAAAAAAGATTTTGCTTTTTCCCTTCTGCTGTATATCATTGTATGTCCTTTTTTTCAAGAATTTTTGTTTTTTTTTGTTCCTCATTTATTTCTATCTTCACCATCATTATATAATTTAGATTTGCAGAAATAAAAAAAACCTTCGGCTTTGAATGAACGAACGGACGAACGAAAAAAAAACGTGATGATCCAAACAACAATATGAACAACGACTGAAAGAAAATTTCACTTTCTCATTTGGACGAATTATCATTATCAGCCAACCAACCAACCAACCAACCACTATATAGCGACCACCGACAATTATTATCATTTTACAGATACTATATACACAGACACATGTGATGATCGTTTTTTTGGATCATGGACCATAATATTGTCATCCATACACGCAATGATGATAATAATAATAATGATGATGGCGATGGACATTTATTCAATGTGCGAAAAGTTTTGTTTTGTTTTGTCAAACAAAACAAAATTTTGCTGCCATTTTTAAATATTATATTCAAATTTTAATATATTGAAAATGAATTGTGTAATTTCATCATCATCACCAACAACAACTAGAAAGAAGAAAAAATCATTATCGTGGATCATCATTATTATCATTATAACCAGCCAGCCAGCTAAACCATCGTGATGATGATGATGATGATTTGAACATTGCTTCTTTACTCATTATTTTATATTACACATCCGACAACAACAACAACAACAACAACGAAGACGACGATGATGACGAATGTCACAATCACAGACATATCTCATCAATTGTCACATTCATTTCTTCAACAACAACAACAACAACAAAATGCTGTCATTTTATTAATGATGGATCATCCAGCCAGCCAGCCAGCCAAATTTTCAAGTAAGAAAGAAAAAAAATTTCACTTTTTTTCCACTAAATAATTTCCACTCTATGTGTCCGGATTTCTATATAAGTGTGTGTGTGTATGAAAACGAAAAATCGAAATCGAAAACAAATTCATCACAATGGTTGTTTTGACACTAAGCTAAGACACTGAATTCAATGACATTTAATTCGAATGAATGAAAAGAAAAAGCCATTATTAATAGTATGATGATTTGAGAAAAAAAAAATGAATGAATGAATGACGATGAAAATAATTATGATGACAATATTAAATTGAGTGAAAAAAAAATTGAAAGCAAAAGAGAAAATTTGTGAGACAATGACGATGAAATTTTTGATTCAGAGACCACAAGGTCTACTTTTTGAATTGTCGATGTCGATGTGTGTGTGTGTGTGTGTGTACACGTTTTAATTATTTGAGATGGTATAATCATTGATCATTGTGGAATTTCGTTATTTATCGATTAACTTGAAAATGATTGATCTTTTCTTGTCATCATTATCATCATCCTTATCCATTAGCGTTTGGATTATTATGCAATCGATAGCCACGATTATCATCAATTGAATTAAAAATTGTTGATGATCGAGCAAAGAAATTCAATTCAATTATCTAATTGTAACGAATTTTTTATTCATTTTTCAGGCTTCTCTGTGTGTGTGTGATAATGGATTTCAATTTTTATATGAAAACAAACAAACAAACAAAAAAATTCATGCACACGCATCGTTTTTATCTATTTTTTATTTTTCGTTTGTTCCGGTTTCTCAAAATCTCATTGATTGATTGATTGACCCATTGAAAAATTGATTAAAAAATGACCGGAATTGTGTAATTTTTTTTTGTCTGCCCACACAATAGAGAAAGGAAATTGACAAATTTTTTTTTAATTTTTTTTTCAAAATAGAAAATTTTTTATTCATTTTCAAGATCATCACGTGCACGTATGTCACGTATTTTATTTTCTAGCATTATTGTCGTCATAATTTTTTTTTTGTTGTCTTTCTTTCTCTTTGATTTTTATCAGTCACATTTTTTTTTATTGTCGTTGTTTCAAATAACATTGAAATTTTTTTAAAAAAAAAATTTAACATTGAAAACAAGTTGTTGTTGCGGTTGTTGTTGTTGAAATCGAAATGAATCGTTATATTAGTTCCAATTGGAGAACGAGAATTTTTTGTTGATTGACAACAGAGTTATTTAATTTTTTTTTTTATCACCACATATCAATGTCAAATGGTCAATTTGTTTTTGTTTTCTGGCCACCGGAAAAAAAATATTGGCCAAAATCGGTAGAAATAAACGAACCAAAAAAAAAGCGAAAAAAAAACAAACTCAATGACAACCACCACCACCACCACCGAGAAAATGAAATAGTCCTTGGAAGTTTTTAATTTTTCATTTTCTGCGATTCATTCATTCATTCATTCAAATTATTCATGCTAATTATAATTATCATTTGCATTTGTTTATTTCGTCAAGCTTCAACGTTTTTTCGTAGTGAGCGCGAAAAAACAAAAACAAAAAACAAAGACAACTTCAAAATGAAAATGATAAAAATTGTCAAAAATAGAATTTTTCTATTCCTTTTTCACTTTAAAATTCATTTTTTCCGGTCTTTTCTGATGATCAATTTGATTTGGAAAAAAAAAATTTTTTTTTCTTTTCCACCATTCTTCATTACAATCAATCAATCAATGATTGTAATGAAATCGCTATCAATCATTTAGATATTTTTCATTTCCTTTCACTGAAACGAATCACTTTCCTCGTTATTGTTTTCACTCGTTCAACCAAGTTGTTCATGTTTTTTTTTGTACATTGATTTTACACATTGAGTACCACGTAATGATGATGATGATGTGAATTGAAACTTTTATTCACATTTGCATCATTTGTCGAATGTAATATCGATCGTATGTATGTATGTAATCTATGTTTATCTACTACTGTGATGAATCATATCATATCTATGGATGATGATTCACGAACACAGGTCATTCATCTATAGATTTCATTCTAAGAAAAAGGGTATAATTCAAATGTAATAAAGCAAACAAAAAAAACCCAATGTGGGCTTTGTGAATAAGATTTTTTTTTTTATATATTCAAAAAATTTTGCAAGCAACAAAATGAAATTTTTTTTTTTGAGGTCACAAGGTTAATTGATTATAATAAATTGTTATTATTAGGTGATATATGACTCAATGAATGAATGAATGAATGAATGGAGATTAATGATGAATAAAAAAGAAACAACCTGTTGATAATTAGTTTTTCAACACATTATGTTTATATACCTAATTATTGTTTGTTTGTTATGTTATAATATACTTGTGTTGCAATTGTGTCATATACACACGGCAACTTGGTTTTTTTTTTATTCAAGAAGGAAAATTTCTGAAATTCATTTTTTTTGAATGCAATTGACTATGTACGTATAATGGGAAGAAATTGAAAATGAAAGAAAAAAACTTTTACAACACACAGCAACTGGTTTTAAAATGGGAAAACACACAAAACCCAAAATTATCCACCAAACAATAATAATCATCAATCGACCAATTGTCGTATCCGATACATGTTTATCGGTTGGTTGCTGTGTTTTTTCTTCCCATCCCACTGTTTCCTTCTTCACTGTTAAGTTGTTTTCGTTTTCGTTTAGTTTTCGGTTCGATGATTCTTGTGTTGATATGAAACAAAAACAACAACAAACACAAACCAGAAAAAAAGTGAATGATTTTTTTTTCTTTTGTTTGATTCAAATTTTTTTTTTTTTTTTTTGATACCATAAATATATGGTTGACAATTTATAAACTGATTGCGTCATTCGATTTGACCGATTGATTGATTATTGTTCATTGGCTATAATCATCATTTTGTATGTGCGCGTGTGTGTTGATTATGGGTATTTTATTTTTTTTTTCTGTATATACACAGAAAAATCATAAACACAACTCAATGTTGAAATAGAAAAAAAAACGTGTTGGCGATGATGATGTGATGGTAGCTTTACCATTTTTGGGGTTATGTATGAGACAATAAAGTTTTAAATCCGTTCACAAATAGGAAGAACAGATGATGATAATGATGATCTACATTTTAATAGGATTCAACTCATATATGTTTCAATGGGAAAAAAAACGAAAATTTAATTTAAAAAAAAAATTCGTTTTTTAGATGTTTTCATTTGTCATCAGATGTTTTGCATCAAAGAAAACTGAATAAAAGTCATCATATATACCACCAACCATTTATGGGCAAAAAATGATTTTGTTTCGTTTGGTTTTTATTATTTTGTTGAAAAAAAATTTGAAAATATTGGTTCGTGGTCAGCTGAATTCAAATCGAATCGAATTGACGCATGCTCTTTTCATATATTCATTTATCATTTCAAAAATAACAAACAAACAACAACGTTGAAGAAAAAAGAAAAGAAAAATGAAAAAAAAAAAAACAAAAATCAACCCAATTGATTCAACAACAATAATCAATTGTCAAAATCTATCCATCTATTTATTTATATATTCAACACAAAACTCAATGGTGATGATGTTGGTGTTGTGGTCACTTTGACCATTCTCATCACGATGATGATAACTTGTTGACCACATACTGATCTGTTATCAATGAATGAAAAAAAAAACAACTTGATGATTGATCTTCATCTGAATTTTTATATATATTTATAAATCATCATCAAGTTTGTTTATTTGTTTGTGTGTGTGTGTGTGTGTTTAAATACCAGCAACAAACAAACACAAAATGAATGATCCATCCATCGATGATGTGATATTGATAACATCAAAAATATGTAACTTTTTCAACTTACCACAACCCGATAAACAACAACGAAATTTACTGTTTTTTTTCTCGGTGTGTGCATCTCTATGATCTAAGATTATATCTGATGTTTGTGTTTTTTTTTGTTGATTATCATCAACTACTACTATATCAAGTATATAATAACGAATGGACAATGCAAAAAAAAAATAAGAGCAAAAACAAAATTGGTTCACAACATCTTCATTTTTTTTTTCATCTGTGGAAAAAGTAAGTCAAATTTTTCTTTTCCTTTTTGTTTTCATCAATCTATATGATTTGATCTCAATTTTTTTTTGTTTCCACATTCATAACTTTTTTTTTTGATCATGATCAATGTTTTTTTTTGCCAAAAATATCCGTCTGATTGATAGGTGTGTTTGTGTGGGTGGGTGGATGGATGTTTTTTTTAGTATGTATTCAAATTTTAATTTGAATTTTCTTCAATTTTTCGAATCAAATTCATGGTAACAGGCGATGATGATCATCATCATGATCTGTTGATTTTTATGTAGCCCCAGATCTTTCATCTGAAAAAAATTTTGTAATTTTAGAATTGATTGAAATGTCAATCATGTGATGATGGACAAAATTACAATTTTTACTTTTCTCGCCACTTTTTTTTCATATCTATATCGATTTCATTGACTTTGATTGACAACAATAAGTAGATGGTATGAGAATATGTGTATTTATCGATCATATGATGAAGAAACTTCAAGGTAAATATTTCGTTCGATTGATTAATTAATATCGACCAACGATCCATCATCCACTTCATCGTATTCTCGGGATAATCTTTTTTTTTGGAATAATAGAAAAAAAATCGATAAATCGTAGGCGTTGAATTTGAATATCTTTGAATGTCTACAACATTTTGTCAGTATACTGAAAAAAAAATTCAAACCAAAAATGGCCATTTCATTTAAACACACACGTACACACACATTTCAATTCAATTTTTTTTTTCTTAAATTTCATCTGCATTTTTGTTTTCATTCTGAATGTTGATGATGATGATGATGATGATAATCTTTTCTATTTCAAAAACAAGAAAATGTGAAAACCACCCTCGGCAAAATTCATAATCATAAGATCATCATCATCATCATCCATGAAACTGAAAATGCAATGCAGAAAAAAACTAACTATCACCATTGATGACGACAACGTTTGATGAATATACAAGGTGAAAATCAACCAAAAAAAAAAAAAAAAAAAAATGAGCGAATGAAGATTTGCAATTACAATTTTTGTTTCTCTTGTTTTATCCGGTTGAAACAATGGATTTTCTGATTTTTAGATTTTCACACACACATCAATTTCTGATTTGAAAAAAAGGTAATTTGTAAATTTGGAATTTTTTTCTTCTTCACTCTTTGATCGATTGACAAATCGATGGTCATAATGATGATGATGGTGATGATGATGATGATGATGATCGTTGTCGTCGGGTGCAATTCAATTTTTCTCTCTCTCTCTCTCTCTCTCTCTTTCACTTTCACATCGATATTTTTACAACGCGTGTATGTAACCTACCTAATGGCCTTCGAATTATTTCCTTTCTTTCAATTCATCATCATGATTTTAAATGATGATGATCAAGCAGTGGCTTCCATAAAATTATGTTGATGATCATGATGATGATGATGTTTTCAACAAATTTCCATATGAATATTTACAACGAAAAACATGCTGAAACTAATGTATACTACAGACTACAGATAAATATTCATCAAGAAAAAAAAATTGTGCTAAAAATATAATAATAACAAACACATGTCATTTATGAACAACAATATCACCACTTTGGTTATTATTTTTTAATCATGAAAAACATCATCATGTAATAAATAAAAGCCCTTTGGTCATTATGGTTGTATTTTCTGTTGCTGTTTTCGTTGTTGATTATGATAAACAATAATACGACCCATTTGTGTGACTTGTGTTAATGCAACGAAAAAATTTACAGAAAATAATGACCAATTTTTCGGTATTATTACCAATGAATAACGTGACCAAATAAGACCGGTTGCTGCCAATGATATTGTTTGGCCGGTTGAAAGATTTTCAACTGGACGTGCCAAATCTGAAAGACCAGCTATAACAAGACCCTAGAACAAAAAAATCGAGGAAAATGATTATCAAAATTTTCATTCAAAATTCAATAAACAAATGCTAACCCATTTAATGGCTGGTGCCCAGAAAAAAACGGTTTTCGGTCCAGCTTCGTGTTCCCAAAGTGGTCGTAATTTTTTCGGCACATAACGATCAACACTACGGATCATTGTACGATATATCATTGATGATGCTGATGCCATTGGTTGAACTTTAACTTTTTCAAATTTCACAATAAACACAAAGACTTTTTAAACAACAATCGATTTATGGATATAGAAAAATAAATTAAAATTGTCACACACTCACACACGTGATGCGATTATCCTGACAATCATAGATGGCTTATTATGAGAAAATTTCGTTTTTTTCGTCAATTTTAATTTTTTTTATAAATCCTAAAAGTAAACTATGCGAGTACACATCAAACACATACACACATGATTTATAAACCACAACAACATCAAGTTCACCTCTCCACACGATCGAAGGATAAAATAAAAATTATATATAACTGTAACGACTATTTACACACGATCATTGCCTATTATGTTAAATTGGCGATTTAAATTTTTGACCGCCAAAAATGCGAAAAACAACCAACAAGGTTTGCATTCATTTTTCATTCAATTTGATTAATAAATCAATCAATTATGTAACCTTGATTTTATCATTATTATCTAATTATTGACCCGGAATCGATATATGTAGAAGAAAAACCCTAATTGAAAATCTTTCAATATGGCAATCTTTCAAATGACATTGACACACACACACACACACATGTCATCTATGTGTGTATGAAATTTATGAATTTGAATGATATCCATCCATTTTTCTCAATTCAATTCATGATCATTGAATGAATGAAATACAATTATTGCATAGACAAAAAAAAATTTGTTTTCTCTCCCCCTTTTTTTCTCATTAATGTTTTCCACTGTCTATTTTCTCCTCGTGTGTGTTTGTATGTTCATGATCATCATCATTCATTCAACATAAATGCATTTTGAGGATTTAATATAGCCAAAAAGAAAATTTCTGCTTTCAACTTAACAGCCAACAGTCAAACAACATTTTCTAACCAACCATAACAGACAAACACACACACACACACATTATTGTGTTGATAGAGTCATTCTCTTTCGAAGAAAAAAAATTTTTCAAAATTCAATTCAATGATGATGATGATGATATTGCAGCTGAATGCATATAATGGAAAAAAACTAGCTAGAGAGAAATGAATTGAATTAAAGAAAGAAAAAGAGTTTGTTGTCTTTGAATTTTTACGACGACAACCAACCACCACGACCACCACCACCACCACCAACAACAACAACAACAACATTGACGACGATCATTTTTGTGAAAGTCTTCATTATCGTCGTTGTCGTTGTCGTTTTAGCAGTTGTAGTCGTCATTGCCATCAAATTGTTGATTGCAATAAATATATTTTCGTTTGTTTGTTTGTTTGGCCAACTTTTTGTTTGTTTGTTTTTTGTTTTATTTTAGATTGCCAAAAAAAAAAATTTTTTTTTTCACCATTTCATTTGTTTCATTTAGAGTTCGTGTTTATGAATATTGATTGTTTTCGAACATTGTTTTTTTTTGTTGTTGTTGTTGTTGTATTGATCGGAAAAAAAATTCGATTATGAGAATTTCTCTAAATGATGATCATCATCATCAATTTGATTAAAAAAACCAACACGATGTGACATAAATTGAGAAACGAAAAAAAACAACAGATTCACAATTGAAATACTTCCGTTTATTTTTCGTTGTTGTTGTTGTTGTTGCTTTTATTGTTTCTCACATGATTATTGTCATCATCATCATCATCATGTCATGTCACATGACTTTATTATATTTATGTATATGAGTGAGTTAGTGTGTGTGTGTGTTTGTCTGTGTCATGAAAACTAAATTTACTAAACAACTAATTAACTACCGGTGAGGAAGAAGAAGTGAACATTTTTTTTTTTATTTTTTTTTTTTGACTGCGATAATTAATTACAAAATCATCCATGGCAACATTTTTAAATGTACCATGATGGAATCATAACCGGACCAAACAAAATATCATCATTCCAACAACAACAACAACAACAACAAAACGAATTCCGGAAACAAAACAAAACTGAAAAAAATGTCATGGATGGCTAATATTGTTGTTGAAAATTTTCAATTTTCTTTTCAACCACGAATTATTACTGTATTACCGTAATGTGTGGAAGCACGGAACAATTTTCACATTCATCACTGGAATCATCATCATCCATTTGTGAATATATTGTGATTATTGCATAATTTAAAGAAAATCAAATCAAATTGTTCGTGCGTGTGTATGTGTGAATTTTTTTTTTACAAATCGAAAAACGAATTAAATTCAAAAAAAAATGGCATCCGTTACAATTGTAATGCCAAATAATAATGATACAATTTCCTGTTCACCGGGTCCACCTCCTGCATATGAACCATCTGATGATAATAATAACCGGACGACAACTACAACCGGAACTTCAACAACACCAACAACAACAACAACTACATTAACCAATAGTGGTCAAAATAGTCGACGTAATCGTAGTAGTAGCAGTAGTAATAATAATAATAATAATAATTTTCGATTGTCAATGTCTCCAAGACATCAACAACAACAACAACAAATTTATCACCACCATCATCGATTATTTCATCATTATAACCATCACAATCGTTCACCATCTCCAACATTATCATCATCATCATCATCAGCGGCGGCGGCAGCGGCAACAGCGAATGAAAAAAGTCCATTTTTAATAGTGAAAATTTTATTATTTTCATTAATGACCATTGATTTTGCAATGAATACCATTGGTTTAGCCGTCATTATTGTGATTGTAAAAAATCATTATAATAATTTTATCGTTGAAAGATCATTTATAATACGTTCAGAATTGGTGGCTGCTGCTTCTCCAGCTCATACTAATCATCATGTAAATCCTTTTTCATCTTCACATCATCATCATCAACAGTCGTTACCATTGATGGGTAATGGTGATATACCAACGGGTGATTTTCTTTCATCATCATCAGCTAATCAACAATCTGAATGGTCTCTATTACTACCTCTGTTACCATCATTTATATTTGCTGAAATTCTTACATTAATAGGAATGTTTGGTGTATTTTGTGATTTATTTAGTTTTACAATGACATATGCTATACTTAAATTGATCACATCATTATGTTATCCATCAATGGCATCGGTTGCCGCAGTTGCTGCAATGGCATCAGCCACATCTTCATCTGCGTCATCGCCATCATCATTATTATTCAACTCAGCGTTTCCACTGAATCCGATAAATTTGTCCACAACAACGACAATGGCACCTTCGTTGGTTCCAATTGTATTGCCATTTCCGGTGAATGACAACGATGATGATGATGATGGTACGAATGTGACAAGAACTACTAACATGACCATTACCAACACTAAAACAACGACGATAAAACCTACAGCTCATATATTTTATGATCTTCAATCCAATATTCGTCATCGTCGTGTTCTTCATGGTGGTATTGGTGATTTGTCATTAAAATCGTTGCCATTAATCATCAATAAAAGTGATATTTCCATTAATTCTTCTGATGATGTTGTGGATCAAGAATTGATTGATCAAAAAACCATAACAACAACGCCATTACCTATTAGTGCGAATAATGATGAAGATGATGATGATGATGATGATCGTCGATTTACAACATCAAAACCTGCAAATGAACAAAATGATACAAAGATCGTTGGTGGTGGTGGAAAGAATCAATTAAATAATAATCCTGGATGGCTAAAAACATATGAAATGATGTTGAACAATAATAAAGATTTACGACAAATGAAAAAAAGTGATCGTTTAGCTAAATTGAAAGCACGTGAGAAACAGATTCGTAATCGGTTATTACGATTGGAAACAATCGATACTAAAAATGGATATGAATCGAACAAACAAAATGACACCAATCCTCAAGCTTTATCACCACAACCATTGATATTTGATGGCCATCATTATCATCAACATTATCGTTATCGTCAGCCACAACCATCAATGTTAACAGTGACAAATAATCTTCTCAATCAACAACAACAACAACAGCGGTCAATGGCCACAATGAATAATCCACATTATCGTCTATTATCATCATCACCAATAGATTCATCACATCAGCAACAACAAACAAATTATTATTCATCAAATCATATTAAATATCATCATCGTGTTTGGGATGCATTATTAGTTACATTCGAAGTTATATTTGCTGTTGCATTTGCATTTAATTTACTAAGTCATAAACGTGGTGCTGCTACTGGTACTAATCATCGACAACAAACATCCGGTGGTCTATTTGAAGATGGATATTTTCTTGATCCAATCGTTTGGGATGATATTGATGTCGAAAATAATGGTGATATATCTAATACTGGTTCATCATCATTAACTCAACAACAACGTAGACTTCGTGGTCATATTCGTAATAGTGGACATTATCGAAATGGAAATGGTCGTCAACATTACCATAATTATTCATCATCATCCACAAATTTTTGGCCATATTCACCATTAGCAACAAGCATTGATGCATTCTATTTTGCATATTTCCGTTTACCACCACCGCCTCCATCATATTTTTGTCAACGTAATATATCGGCATTATCATCAACATCAACTACGACGATGACAACGACAACAACAACGAGACCAACAGCTGCTGTTCCAGGAACAGTAACAACAATGTGTGTGGCATCTTCTTCTTCTTCTTCTTCTGACAACCAACAACAACAATTGAATCCATCGACAGTTTTGAATCAAAATTTACCACCATCATCATCAACAGCAACATCGTCGAACAATAGCCATAGTAATAACGATCGTCGATCAAGGAACAACAGCAACAATAATCGTCGTCATAGCCGACATTCTCGACACCATCATCATCATCATCATCACCATCATCAACACCAGCATCATCATAATCAGTCAGCACATCGCAATAATCATAATAATAATAATAATAATAATAGCCACCATACACATCATCATCATAATAATCATCACCTGGCTGCTGTACGTTCAATTTTGAATGTTGGGCCAAATATTCGTCGCTGTTTAACACCAAATTGGCTATTGGATCGTCATAGTAGTAATAATAATGTACGACGTAGAATGATGATGATGATGCAAATATCAAATAATCAGCAATCATCATCATCATCATCATCAATAAATGAACAACAACGCACAACAACAACAGCAATATCACAAACACCACCACCACAATATGAAGATATTGATAATGATAATCCAATTGATTTTATCATGATACCGCCATCCATGACCGAATCGATAGGAATTATGATGAATCAACAAATGAATGAAAATGTCACATCTATTGTCACTGATTCAGCAACAGTAACATCTGTTGAATCAACAGCTGTTGCATCGGCTGCTGCTGAAAGGATTGTATTACAAGTAATAAATGATAATGACCATACAAATAGCAACACAATCGACGATGATGATGATAATCTACAAATAAATAATGATGACGATCCGCCAATACTTCCGACAATAATTGAAGTTATTGTCGATGATGATTGTGATGATGATGATGATGAAGTGGTGGTAATGGAACGAGAAGAAAAAGAAGACGATGTTCATGATGATGATGATGATGATGATGATGAAGACCTTGATGATTACGAACAATCATCAAGTATTGATCAACAACAACAACAACAACGACAAGATTATAGGGACAACAACAATAGTGGGATTGTCATTGAAATAAAAAATTTCAATGACAATTGTACATTATCGTCAAGACAAAATGATCATAGCGACAACGACGACGACAACAGTAAAAATTTTATTGAATCTGGTCAAAATGTAAATGATGATCATGTTGATAAACAAATTGTCGATACACAAGTTTGATTTGTAGATTGTTGTTAAATGCAAAATTCAATTCAATAACATTTTTTTGTTTTGTTTTGTTGTTTTTGCCAAATACACGTATGTTTGTGTCAATAATTGGATCTTATTTTGGATCGATCCATGTTTTTTTTGTGTTTGTATTCATTTTGACACTTGTATGATGATAATACAATGTTATGTAATCCCTTATTATTATTAGCAGAAGCATCAAAAAAAATGTCAATAAATGTAAATGTCATTGAATTGTGTTGATCGATCGATCGATTGATTGATTGATTGATTTTGGGGCCCACCAACGATGATTTATTGACCTAAATATAGATTGATTCTACATGTCCACATTTTTTTTCTCAATTCTCACTGTTTTGTTTTGTTTTGTTGCCATTTCTGTAAATAATTTTTTTTGTTTGTTTGAAGAAAGTGATAATTATGGAAAATAAAAACGAAATAATCATAATCAATGAAAATTTTTTTTTTCTTTCGTTGTTGGATCATCACCACTCAGGCTGATCTTATCAACGATGATCAAATCAAATCAGAAACAAAAAAACATCGACGATAATTGTGGATTCGAAAAAAAAGTTTAGATTAATCACATATCACATCATTGTTTTTAAATTTTAAAAAACCAAATCCTCTATCATTTTCCATCATCGTCATGAAATTTTGTTTTTTTTTTTGCCGTCCAATCCACCTACGGTTATCCATAAAACACAAACACACACACAGACAGACAGACAATTAAATTGGCTGACAAAACAAAAAATTTTTTGCTCCACTTTTTTTGGAAGATGATGGCGATAATATTCGGGTTTGGTCATGATTTCATTTTTTTTTTTCTCCAACAACAGAATCCTGATGTTCAAGTTTTAGAGGAAAAAAAAAATTTTAAATGTCTAAACTGACCAATGATTTTCCATGATGATGATTATGATGATCAAGTTTTGTTGTTTTGTTTTGTTTGATTTTTTTTAAAAGAAAACTTTTTTTTTATTCGTTGTCCGGACAACGACTTGCTGATTTAATGACTGACTGAATGACTGACTGCCCAGTGTGGAGAGATAGAAGAAATAAATTAACCCGAAACACAGTAACAATACCTTGGCCAAATTTTATTTTTGTTTTTAGTACGGTTAATTTATCTTTTTTCACCTAGATATCTGACCAAGTGAAGGTCGACACTTTTTTTTCGTTGCTGTTTTAAATCATTATAATAAATCAATTTAAATGCGCATACTCTCTCTCTCGGCAAGAACGGTAATTTTTTAATTGCCATTTTCGTTGTTGAACATTCATTCAATTCTGGTCATCATCATTGTCGATTTGACAAGATTTACATGATAATGATGATGAATTCATCACAACTTCAACAACTACAGAAAAATGGTCATCGATCTAATGATAGAAATATTGAAAATGAATTAAAATTGGCACGAAAATCACAATCGAAACGGAAATCTGAAATGATGATTAATCAATATCATCGTCATCATCCATCGAAAATGATGAATAAATTAGAACAATGTTGTTGCAATAATCTACAGATATTCAAATATATTCTCATTATATTAGCGATAATTGGATCATTATTCGGTTCGATTTTGTTGACCATAGCCGGTGATCCACCATATAATCAAGGCGCCATTTATCAATATAGTGATCTGATGCGTTTGATTGTCGGCATGCATCAAAATCTATTGGATTTGCAATCAATGAAACGAATGAACGACCATAATAATGCAAAACAATCAACACCGACAACAGCAGCAGCATTTGTTCCATCATCAATGATGATTGAAAAACGTGATACACGTACAAAATTGAATGAAATATTTCATTTCGAACTTTTACATGATTTAGCTAGATCTGGACAAGAAAATCTCAAACGATTTAATGAGAATCAATTCGGTAGATTTCTACAGCAATGGCTTCCAATGAAACATACAGATTTTCAATCACAGAATCCAATATTGGATGATGCAAATTTTTATTGGAATAATTATTCCACGTTTCAAATTGCATTCATTACATTATTATTATTATCCAATTCACTGCTGTTATTGACGTGGATATTTTTTAAAATATTGAAAAATTTTCAAAAATCTCGTTATAAACAAAATCGAATCGTCGATGATAATAAAGTGGTTGCTGCCGATCAGCTACGAATGGAACGAAAACAATTTATGAATGAACAATTGGAAAATGTGCGAAAATTTCGCCATTTTCGTCAAACACATGTAAAACATCGTATGGTATTGATTACGTTGTTGTTTCAGCTTGCTTTGATCATCATTCTGTTATGTCGACCAAATATTTTCGTCATTGTTCTACATCAGGTTAGTTTTTTGTTATTATCAATGGGTTGTTTAGCAAGCACATCGATTTCGTGTTCATCATCAATGGTGAAATCGAAATCAGCCATTGATGGTTGTGGAATGACAATTGATGAAAAATCGCCATCGATTAACAGTGGTGGTAGTGGTATAAAATCGATGGTAAAATTCCAACCGTTTCCAGTGGAACAACCCAGATACCAGATGTATCAGTACAATCACCATCGATGGGGAAAATACCGTCATCGAAACATAAAAAACATCGACGACAACGATCACCGCCATCGCGACCAGTACAATCACCATTGAATGAACGTCGTGTGAAAAATGAAACAATCATCGGTTCTAATCTTCAAAATCACGATGATAAATATCCGGATGATAAAAATCCATTTGAAATTTCGATGAAAATCCGATAAAAATTGTTAAAATAAAAAATCCAATAGAAAAATTAGAAATTCAAAGTCCAATCAATGATATATCGATACCCGAAACGAGCGCTGTATCGATTCCGAATTTCAATGTGGAAAATGTAGAATTTCCTAAAATCAGTTTAATCAAAAATTCTGATAATGTTACCACCATTGACACTGGAACATTTGATTCTTCATCCACAAAGAATCCGATTGAATCACCCACATTGAAAGATCTACTTGAGGTAAAATTGCCAAAAATGGATCAGATTAACATATCGCTGCCTAATATTTCAGCCACAAATCCCATTATTGACATTTCATCATCATCATCATTGGGCCAATCTAATCCAATCGATGATAATTCAATTGAAATAAAATCTCCGAAAATAAAACCATTGAATATTTCATCATCATCAGATGATAAAAATCCTGATATGACAATTATATCGATAAAAAATCCCTTTGATGATGATCATGGTGATCATGATGATCGAAACCACCACCACCACCACCAACATGATCACGATAATCATTTCGATGACGATGATGAAATAAATAATGATAATAATAATATGAGACGACGACTACGACATTCATCGAAACAACAACAACAACAAAATCAAACTAACAAATTGATTGAATCAATTGTTAACGAAATTGACCAAGATGTTGAAGATGATGATGATGAAGAAATTGAACCAATATGTTCAGTATGTTCAAATGTTAATTCACCAACAACAACAATTTTATCATCACGATTTTATTGAATGACATTTACAATTGAAATTTTTGAACTGTTTCAAAAAAAACAAAATTTTTTTTTGTATTTTTCATAAATGAATTCCGTGTGTTTGGTTAATGTGTTTGCATAACAACAAAAAAAATATTGGTTTAGTGATCGTTGTCGTTGTTAGAATTAATACAAATATATCAATCTTCAATGTCCTGATTAAAAATAGAATCGCTGAATTTGTTTTTTCGACCGTCAAATGTTTTTCTCCATTCATCCATTGATTATGATGATGATCATTTGAATCAAAATTATTGATTTTTAAAAATTTCGAAATATTTTGGTTTTCATGTGGTAAAGTTTTGTGTGTTTGTAATGATGATGATACCACGGTAACCAAAATGGAAGAAAAACAAAACAAACATAAATTTTAAATGATGATTATATAAGGCCAATCATTAAGCGCCGTCTCCCGTTTTGAATCATTTGTTTTTGTGTGTGGTACCTGGCTTTTCGTGGTGGATATTTTCGGCATGAAATTGAGTGAAGAAAAAAAAATCGATCCAGGTTCTGCCAGCCAAACAACACAAATGAAAATGAAATGAGGCCACAATGTTTTTTTCTTCTTCCATTAATGACAATCATTCATTCATTTTTTGTTGAAAATTCAAGGAAATTTTTTCCAAATTTCATCATCCAATTGATGGCAGGGCGAAAAAGAAGCATACCGGGGAATGGCCAGAATTTTTGTTTCATATTCTTTTTCACCTTGATTATATTAATAGTAATGGAAATGTTCAGGGCGTATCACAAGATGAACGCGACATGAAAAAAAACATGCCAAATCGATCCATATGAACTAAAGTGAAAAAAATGGAAATTGTTCACATTGGTAGTAATGTTCATTCAGTGTTACTCACTTGATAGTTTATAATTCATTTTGTAGTCACACGTTACGTTTTGCAATTGGATCAAAAGAAAAAAAATGTCCATCATTTATAAATCATTATCAATAGCTTGGCGAAGATTTTGTCGTCGTTGGAATCGTAAAAATTCCTATTCCAAATCATCACCATCATCAACGATGGCGAAAATGCCCAAATTACCCGATTTATCACCACGTTTACGATTGATATTCATCATTGTTGCATTCATATTCTTAGCTATTGCTGCATTCATTTTAATGTTGGTCATCCTGACCACACATAATGATGAATTAGGACATGCGGATCAACCAACACAAGACGTTTCTTCACAATGGTTATGGCGATTGAAATCAATGCTCAATAATCATCGAACCATTGTCATCTTTCTATCGGCAACATTTGCATTATTTCAATTGATGGCCATTGGTGCGGCTATATTCAATTGGTCCATTGTATTGTTTTCCTATGTTATCATTACAGGCATATTTGGTACGATTATCGGTGTCGTCGGTATTGTTGGCATTATATTCACTTGTATATTGATGAGACATGATAATCATCATGATCATACGATTACAATAACCATTGGCATTGTCATTTCATTCGTATTTATATTCTATTTGATGACCATACTGGGCCTACGTTTAATGGAATATTTTAGAAGACGGAAAATTATTACTAAAAATAATCAAATGGATAAATCAATAAGAAACTTACGATTAAATCGTAATGATGGTCAAGGCCTTAACAATAATAATAATAATCATTATTATTATGATCAAAATAGCCGTAGGCCATCATCATTATATCGTTCAATAAATTCATTATCAATTAATGATCAACGACAATTACGTGATCAAATTAAAAATGATATCAATATTAATATCGATCTTGATGATGATGACGATGATAGTGATGATCAGAATGATAATTATGATGACGATGATGATGAACAAAATCAAATGACAAAGATATCATTATTATCATCATCAAATTGTCAGATTATCAACAACAACAACAACAACAATTGTATTCGGTGAAAATTGAATTAAATTATTGTTGACATTGATAATGATGAATAATGTGTAGTGAATTATTTTTTTTTCATTTTTTTCTGTTTTTTTTTGTTGCAATCAAAATTTGAATGAATTGAATTAATGATGATGATGATGATGATGATTATATATCAATCAGATAAATGAATGAATGAATGAATAAAAATCAATAAATCATTTATGACATATATGATGATGATGATTAAAATATTTAGATGAATATTGTAATGAATCTAGATACAATTCGTGAAAATCGTGCATGATGTCCATAACGTTCTGATTTTCCATCTTTACAAACAAATCATTATCATTTATACTTATCCACTTATCGTTCAAATTCATTCTTTGATCTTCACCATCGATTTGTATCATACAATTCGAATAATCATTACATTTTTTACATTCATTCCTCATCGACGGTTGCAGCAGCAGCAGTCATTCAGAATTGGATTGTTGATCTTCATTGCCATTATCAGCATCCACATAATCTTCTGATTCTTCCGGTGATGGTTTTGGTTTATGAAATTCTTTTGTCAACTGTTCAAGATCACGTTTATCAACTAGATCCAATAAATCGATACGACCATGCATTGACATTGCTGATCGTAATAAACTCCATACCGATACCGAGGTAATATTATCTCTATTCAGATCGACCATATCTTTGATAGAATCAGCACCAGCAGTTTGTAGATTCAATACCGAAAGCAAATGTTCGGCAGCTTCTTCACCGAAACCCATCATCATACATGATATGGCTAAATTATATCTAGCACGAATATAGCCTGGATAACGAATCAATGCTTCACGATATGCAGACATTGATTCTTCAGCACGGCCACCATTGGCTAATGAAGCACCATATCGATTCCATAATGCATAATCATCTGGTAATGAATCCAATGCCAAACGAAAACAATCAATAGCTTTTTCATATTCACCGGACAAATTATGCAAAACACCGAGGCCACATTGAACATCTGGATCTGGTTGTTCATCAGATGATAATCGAGCAGCTTCAAGAAAATTTTGTCGAACTGAATCAAATAATCCGTTGGAAAATGGATTTCCTACACGTACAGTTTTTTGCATCCATCGTTTCGATAATGGTGTGGGGCCTAGATATGGTTCATCCTCAGATTCTTTGTTCATTAGATCACGATATTTTGGATGATTATTAAGCCATTCTTGTAGTGCATTACATGCCTCGGTTGTCATTGATTCATTTGTAAAACTCGTGGCTAAATACATCAATGATTCTCGTATGATTTGTTCATCTTTTGGTTGTAATGATAGACAACGTTTAAATGCTGCAATAGATTTATGATCATTTTCATTTTTGGCATTAGCAATGCCCAACAAACGCCATGCATCCACATTTTCTGGTTGTTGTTGTACGGCAGCTTCAAACAACAAGACAGCAGCTGACAGATCACCTTGATTCATACGTTGTTTACCTTGTTCAATATAATCAGGTAATATCGTTTTTTCTACTTGTGCTGCTGGTTGTGATTGTTTCACCAAAATGAATGGATTATTATCAATCAATTTATAATAATAACGATGATCAGATTTCAACAAGTTTTCCAATGGTTCAAGAATCTGTACGACGTTTGTATCGACATCAGCCAATAAATCCGTGCCACTACCAATTATATCATTTGAATGCCATTCTTCAGCCAATTTCATCCAGAATTCCATATCATCGAATTGATTTTCATAGAAAAAATTTTCACCAGTTTTAACTTCATCTCCACCTAGTTTCATTGATGGCTGTTCTACCGGTTGTTGTCGTTGTTGAGAAGATTCTTCTCGTGAAATTCTATCTGGTTCCAATTTAGATCCAATTACAGTCGATTGAAATGCTGATGGTGATGATGGAACTTGATTTTCACCAATAGTTTGATTATTATTATTGCCAAGTAACATATTGATCAAACGACTTTCTTGATCAGATACTAAATCATTTAGATTAACATCACTAATTGTCGATTGTGATGTGTGTGTTCCAAAATCATTACGTATAATTGGACGTAAAAATGGTAGAAATGATTGCGGTTGTTGTTGTTGCTGGTGTTGTGGAAAAAATTCATCAACATTATCCACTGGTTGGTTACGATAATCATCATTCATTATTGATTGCCGTTGATCTGTTTGTAATTGATGTGCTTTTTCATTCAAATCCCAACTACCATCAACACTATTTTGATCTGTTGATGATGATTCAACAACATTCGAGGTTTTTATTGCTGTAGTGGCTGATGATTCATCATTATTATTTAGCTCTAATTTTCGTAAATATTCATCAGCCCAATCTACATTCAATTCCGGTAGCTTATTATTATTTTCATTCATTGACAAACTTTGTTGTTGTTGTTGTTGATCATCATAAATTAGATTCTGTGAAAATTCATTCCAAAATGGATCTTGATCAGTTTTCATTAATGAACGAATAGAATCTGGTGGTTCATGTTGATCATCATTCATCATCAATTTGGATTCCATACGATTCATTTCTTCTAACAATGATTCCATATTGAATGCTGACGATTCTAATGGATCACCACCATTTGTATTTAACAATAATGATTCAACAGCCGATGACAATGGATTATCCGATTGTTGTTGTTGTTGTTGTGTGCCATTATTATCAACAAATGTCAATGATTCATTCATCATTGATGGAACATTGTTAATAGCCGATGATGCTGGTGATGATGATGATGATGTAAGCTGGCGAGCCAGATCAATCATTGGATTTGTTTGGCCACATTCATTACTTTCTAACATTGATTGAAATGACATTTTTGTTGTTGTTTTTATTGCTTTTTTTGATGAAAACAAAATATGAAATTCAGTTTCGATTCGATTTGGATCAATAAATCTATTTTTAACAAAACAAGAAAAAAATTTCATTAATTTCGTTACTTTTTAAAGAATTTCACATACTTTTGTGATTACAAGATCCAATCAATCAATTATCGAAGACTGAAAAAAAATGATTTAGAAAACCAGCGGATGATCGAAATGATGCAATGCAATAAACGAAATATATGTAAAGATTTTCAATATTTAAATCTTTTTCATTTTGAGAGTGTTGAATTGGTTTTTATTTTCTATCAAATATCGATTGTGTTGAACAATGAAATGACGATAAAAAAAACAACGTAGCAAAACAACAAACACACACACACACATTCATCGACCCGAACATCAACACCAGAAACAAAAAAAAAAAAAATTTCCAGCTACAAACGACGACAGAAAATGATTATCATCGAATCATATATCGTTGTTGTTGTTGTTGTTGCTGATGATGATGATCAAACCGATCTATGATGATGGCAATGAAGACGACGACAACGACAACAACCAGCCAACCAACAATCCAATGTCTCTCTCTCTCTCTATATGGATGCTAACACGAAGATGAAAATGATGCGGCTGATGATAATGATTGACACATCACACACACACACGCACACAACGAAAGAGAGATACACTGAAAACGACGACGACGACGATGAAGGAAAATATCAAAAATTCACCACCACTTGCCACTTCTTTTTTATCGTCTTCGTTGTCTTCTTAACAAGACAACCAACAGCCACACATTCGAAAAAATGTACGAACGGAAAAAAAGGTTCAGTTTCGAAATAAATTTTCTTTTGCTTCGCTTCAATTATTCGTAAAGTTATGGTTAGAGACACACACACACACACAAAACTAAACGTTTGTTGTTGTTGTTGCTCGTATGATTTTAACATTAACCGAACGTTTGCCAAATTCGTACGGTTATATTTTACCTATTAATAAATGGGCAAAAAAAACACGTTTATAGCGATAAGAAAAAAAATCTTAGGAATGAAATATTCAAATGAGATGGATGGTTAAATTTTGTGTTTAGTGTGTGTGTGTGTGTGATAATAAATAAACCATCAACAACAACAACAACAAAGAATAAATTGATGTGACGCGCAATGAACAACTATATTGTGTGGAAATAGTCGTCGTCGATTTTTTTTTGTTTTGTTTTCGAATTTATTTTTGAAAGAAATTAGAAAAAAAATCAAGTTTTTATTTTACATTGATTGATCGTTTAAAATCAACAATTTGTTTCTCTCGTTTTATTTGTATTTGCTGTCTATTCTGCATTTCCCGTGATAATTCATCATCTGATTTGATTAATTCATTTTCAAGTAGATAACGTTTAAACACAGAATTCCAATCATCATGTTGATTATGGCGAATATCGTGTAAAATTGTCAAAAATAATGACCATGATATTACACCATGGAATTTATTCCAAACAATATGTTCCGTTGTTGGTAATCGACGCACCATTATCCTTTGTGATGATGATTTTTGATATTGTAGACGATTAATTCGATTAAATACTGGATCACGTAGACTACGTGAATTATGACAAGGTATGGCGAATATATTACGTTCATCCAATAATTCAGACATTGTCAATGGTATTTTTGCATTCGGCGTAAAGTAGATTAATTTTTCATCCGATTCCAATACATTCACTGGTTTTGCAACATGATGAATGGTGTATTGATATTGTTTCGGGTCATTCCACCAGCTCATAAAAGTGTGAACAATTTTATCGAAACGACTATTTTTTAAACCATGGTGACTACTGCGAACAAATTCAATTCGAAATGGATTGATATGGTGATATTTATTGACGGCTAATAAATTTCGCACATCATTCAATATTTTTCGGGTATGAAAAAAATCCTGGTCCATTGCGTAATCCAAATCGATCAATACACGTGGTGTTGATGGACAATACATAGCTTGGCTCGTTAATCGACGATCATAAAGATGTGATAACGATGAACGTTTCATTTTTGTAAATAAACAATTATGCCATAGACCGTATGCAAGTTCATTCTGGTCGGACCAAATTCCTGATCGTAAATTATCATCACCATCATCAGCATGTTGATCTTGTTTACGACGTTGACGTATCTGGGATCGATTTAATCGACGAAGAAATTTTTCATACAATTGACAACGATTATTGATAAAATATTTCAATAATCGATCATCATCATCATTTTGTGTGGATAAAATTTCAAAAATTTCTTCAGATTTCAGATGAAATTTTTCCCTAGTCGATTCGTATTGATCAAATTCATCGTTATTTAAATTATTTTTATACATTCCATAATCGAAACGTTCCAATATAGTTGCCACACGTTGTTGTAATTCATTCATTGATTTATATTGCACATTTCTAGATGGAAGTAATTTCCGTTTGAATAATTCATCAACATATAATTTAATTCGTTGATCATGATTTTTATATTCTTCATTATGACTTTTCGATGACAATGAACTAATCAATAAATGATTGCTGAGAATTTTATCAGCTTTTCGGTGATGATGATGAGATTTTTTCATAAAAATCACCAAATTAGACAATTTTTTAAACATTGTTTTTTCAAATAAAATAAAAATTTTTGAAAATTAAACCAAAAAAAAAACAACACATGAGTGTTTTGGCTATTCAACAATATTCAAATCATACGGTCGAAATAGTCGATTTCGAATTGTTGAATTTAATCCACCAACAATAGATGGCAGTGTAGCAGCAGTGGTTGTTGTGCATTGATGTTGAGCATCAATTATCCATAATTTCCTTCTTCAATCATGATCAAAATCAAAATCTTTTACCATCATCGTCATATGAACCCCAAGAAAACAATGAAAAAACTTGAATTCTATTTTCATAAAGAGAAAAAAACATATGTTTACATTCCCAAACGACGACGACGATGACGATCATCATCAAATCAGCAACAACAGAAAAAAAACAAATGACTAGGACCCTTGATTATGTATCAAGTGTCAAGTATTTTTTTCTGTTCATCATAATAATTCTTTGTTTATAGTAACAAGTAGTTTTTTTTGTTAATGTATCCATATCGCACAACAGTACATCATCATCATCATCATCATCATCAGACATGTTTATATCATAACGTGATTCAAAAATTCGAATGTTCAAGTTTTCGAATATGAAACATGTGCATTACTTCACACACACACATTGTGAAAAGGTTTTTTTTTACTCGAGAAAAACATCAAATCGAATCATCATATATTCATCAAGTATCCATTAATCATAAATATATGAAACATCAACAACCAAATGAAAACAAAAACCGATCTATATATCGGACCAAATTTTTGGTTCATCTAATAATAATAATAATAATAACGATTTGTCATCATGCTCCACACCCTCTCCAAATATAATGTGTCATATATGTGTAGTCAACACCGAATGGTTTTGTCATCATCATCATCATCATCAGTAATCAGTAATCATTGATATCCGCGATTCCTCCAGAGAGAGAGAGAGAAAAAACCCGAAAACTTCTAAATTGCATCGATCAGATCGTGAAATAATAATAAAAGAAACACACACACATACAAAAGTGTCAAATGTCAACGTATGAGATCATAAAATGTCTCCATTTTTTCGTAGTATAATATTGACTGCCATTGCCACCCAAAACAACATTGATCGTAATACATGTGTGTTTTTGAGAATGAATGAATGAATGAAGTGAGAAAAAGAGAATTATAAGCGATGACAGAACTCGTCGTCATATGACATGTCATCATCATCGATGCTGTAAATTCTAATTCTACAACAACAATGACAAGACGATATAGACAGCCCACAAGAGACCTTAGCAGTATCAGTAGAAATGATGGTGATAGAACAACAAAAAAAAGATGAAAGGTCATGTCACGTTTCGTTAAGTTTTTTTTTGAACCACGAAATATACCGAAATCAAATGGTTTGTATTTGTTTTTGTTTATCATTATAACACATACACAGAGATGAATTTTTCAAAGAATCATTTCATTTTTTTTTTTTTAATATATAGCTACAGAATCTTTTCAATGTTGATAATAATTAATTGTATACAATATATATGGTCAAATTACAATCAATGATCAATGGACGTAGAGGGAGACAGAGAGAGAGAGAGAGAGAGAGAAAACAAAACAAAAATGAAATTTTTAATAAATTTGTTCTTGTTATATTGATTATTGGCCATTGGTCAAAAGATTGATGATGATCAGTGTGTGTGTGTGTGTGTGTGTGTGTGTGTGTGTGTGTATTTGATGAAAATATTTCTATAAAAGAAAATCTATAGATTTGAATTGATTTTTTTTTCAATCAATGATTCGGTGATTTTGATTCAATATTAATCGATGATGATGTGGGCGTTGTCGTTGCTGCTGTTGTTGTTGATGATCCTGAATTGTTATTGATCAATGAATTATTGTTATTTCCACCAGCACCATTATCAAATTCATCATCATTATTGTTATCATTTGTTATATATAACGGTGTTGTAGGTGTTGTTGAGCTATCATCATTTAGATTCATAAATCGATTATTATTATTACTCGTTGTCGTTGTTGTTGTTACTAGATGATTATTATGAAGATGATGATTTTGATGATGTTGATGATGATGATGATGACCAATTAATGGTGATGTTGATTGTGGTTGTAGGGGCGGTGGTGATGATGATGATGTTGGTGTTGTCGATGTTGATAATGATAATGATTTATTATTAGAGCTCGTTTTTGTTGCTGCATGATTTCGTTGATGATGATTATTAGTTAATGATGATTGTTGTGGTGATAATGGTGATGATGATGATCTTCCACCACCGCCATCAACGTCCAAACGATTTTGTTGATAAACAATTGCAGCAGCTGAATATGGTAGTGGTGGTGGTGGTGTTGGTGATGATGAATAAAGACCGGATATTGATCCACTACCACTACCAATACCTATTGCCGCTGTTGTTCCAAGTAATGTTGTTGATGATGTCGGTGTTGTTGAACCGGATGATCCATCATCATTTCCAATATTACCGATAATGCTATTTCCACCCAATGATGATGTACCACTACCGCTACCGGTGCTAGTAAAACAATTAACCGAATTCAATGTTGGCCATGTAAATGCACTTTTTGCTACAGCTGCAGTTGCTGCAACATGATGTTTTGCGGCTGCCGCTGCTGCTGTTGTCCATCCATTTGCATATGATGTATAGCCACTGTATAATGATGATGGATCATGATGTGGATGATGAGGATGATGATGGTGTGGATGATGATGATCCAATGGTGTAATTAATCCATTAAAACTAGCTGCTGCTGCTGCCGCTGTTGTAAAATTTGTCACATTTGTTGCAGATGCTGTTGCTTGCCGCAATTGTTCAGCTGCAGCATTACGTTCACGTTTACGCCATTTTGCGCGACGATTTTTGAACCATACCTTGAATCGGTCAATGCAAATTGGATAAAAATGAAAATCAAAACAACAACAAAAAACATTAGTCATCAGTGGGCAAAACAAAAAAAAAAATTTTCATTTCATAAATTTTTAATTAATTCATTAATTCTGTAAATTATAATTAATGTTTTGAAAAAGTTTTTTCATTTCATTTAGAATTTCTAATTACAAAACATTCTCATTAGTGATGTAATGAAATTTTTTTTTGTGGTTTCGTTTGCAGTTTGCTTTTGCCAAAAACAGAACAGAATCCATTTTGGTGAAAAAAAACAACGAAAAATTATTTGACATTAATCGAAGCTGAAAATTTGTCATTGTCTGATTTTATTCACCAGTGAAAGATTAGATAATTTTTTTTTATATGCTCAAAGCTTGTGTCTACATTTTCAACTGATGTTGATGTTTTGTTTTATTTAGATTCGATTTGATGATTGTCGTCACCGGCAAGAAAAAAGGTCACGTGTCAGTCAATAATAATGTTTTGTTATATATTCACAGCCTTTGTGTATTGTTGTTGTTGTTGCAAAAAGGGCAATTCTCGTCAACGAGGTGTGAATACCCCGAGATAAATTGCTGCTGCTGTTGCTGTTGTTGGAACAAATAGCAGCGACGACGACGACAACAAAATTTAGATCCAGGATCGTTATCTTGTGATTTGCAAATGAAAATCTAACGACAACGATGAAAAACAAAATGAAAATCTAATTATAACTCACCATCAACATACATCAACTTGTTCAAACAAGATAAACATCGTATATTGACGACCCGTTTTGTATTCAATGTCGATGATGATGATGATGATGATGACAGTTTTGTTCATCGAATTTTATTTCGATTTTGAAATTGAAATGAATTTTAAATGAATGGATTAACTACTGCAATACTTGACATCATCATCATTGTATTGAAAAAAAAATCTGATCAACTCTGACCAATCTATTCAGCACTGAATTCCCAAATCAAATGTTTATTCATGTTTTCATCGACAACAACAACAACAACAACAAAATGTGTCTGTATGTTCTGTGTAGTGGTGGTGGTCATCATCTTGTTTGTTAGAATCGATTAATCGATCACGATCGTATCCATATGTATGTATGGTGAAAAATGGTGGTGGTCAAACCAGTGATTGATCGATCAATTTCTTCATTAATATTTATTCAACGTTTCCATCATCATCATCATTGATGATCGGGTTGCACGCAAAAAAAAATGCCAACTTATAAACACAACCCAACAACAACGCAAGCACATTGACATTTGGGCGGGTAAGTTTTTATTTCAAAAAAAAAATTTCGTTTTCATCTTTTTCCTGACTGACTGACTGACTCATTCTCTGTGTCTCTGTGTGTGTGTGTGTTTTCAAAAAAAAAAAAAATGGTGTGATGATCTTAATTAACTTTTTTTTTTTTTTTTTTTTGTGTGTGTGTGTGTGTTGGTGGTTTATTCCAATTAAATGAAACTGTGAATGAAAAAATCTGAATTTCTGTCAGAATAAATGATGATAGCAGCAATGTGTGTGTTGACTCATCACTTACACACACACACACACACACAGAATCTCGGGTCAATCATTTTTGGTTATTACGGGAAAAAAAGTCACCAAAAATGAATTGTGTATTTGTGTCTATGTTTCAATCATCAAATGATGATGTTTGAAATATTTTGAAGGAATCCTATGAATTGAAATTCTGTTTGTTATTGATACCCACCACCACCACCACCACCACCAACAGCGGTGGGCAATATTATTTTTGATTTGATTTTTTCGTCGATGAAATCTATACACACACACACACCATGCATACGTTTTTTTTCTGGATGCTTATGTCTGGTTGTAGTTGTTCTGATGCTGCTGATGATGCTGCTTTCCAATAGAAAAAACACCGGGTGGCCATTTAATTAAACTTCTACAAAACTTGCCTGGAACACACACACACACAATTTGATATCATTTATTTTGGAACTACTGCTGCTGCTGCTGGGTGACTGAAAAAAAAATACCCGGTAATATTCGACGGGTTTAGTTTTTTTCTGGTTGATCCTTTATATTGGCGGGCTAGCTGTTTGGTTAATTGAGATAAATACCATTTTCATAACCGTGTTTTTTTCATCTTGTTCTTTCCCGCACAAATACCAGAATTGTAATTTTCGTTCTATTTCTTTTTCAAGAAATGGGTTCGGTTTTGTTTTGTTTTGTTTTTTTCAATTTTTACAACATTTACAAATTCAATGATAAAAAATGGCTACAATTGCAATAAATACAATGTATCCAATAGTTTGTTTGTATGTGAGAAGAATAATTGAAAAGTTTCCAAGTAATGGTTGTGTTTCACAGAACATGAAACAAAATGTAAGAAAGAATTTGAAAGAATTCTTTCTTACATTTTCGACCTTTGACACTTCTAATTTTTTTTTGGGCACACAACAATGTTATTTCATTATCACAATTCATGTTTATGTAAATAATGAAAAAAAAATGATTGCGTGATTGTTGATCGTGAAGCTAATTTTATTTCCACCCAGGTAGGTCCAAAAGTTCCAAATAAAAAAAAAAATACCAAATAAAAATAATAAAATCTGACAACTAATTTACATTGCAAACACACACACGCAGGTATGTAAGGTGAATTATGGAATTCAATGATGATGATGATGATAATCAAGAACCTTTGACCTTTTTCTTTCTCGGTCAAAAATTCTTTTTATTATATATGGAAAAAAAACATTTGAAATGAAAACAGAAAATGAAAATAATTCAAATGAAAGTGAATTTTATTGCTACCTGTGCCGATAATGACCTTTATTATACAACGGCAAGTCACTTTTGACAAACATGACATAATGAACATGTCATGTTTGTCAAAAAAAAAAAAAAATGAATTTGACATCTCAATATCAAGATTATGGATAGTTTTTATTTGCTACTGCAAATAATAATCAATAAAATTCAGGCAAAAATTCTTGAATTGAATGGATGTCAAACGTTGTTCTTTTTTGTTGTTGTTGTTGCTCGTTGTAAAGAAAAAAAAGCTTTTCGATTGAAAAAATCTCCCCAGATTTAGAAAAGAAAAGCCAACTTAATCATGATGATGATATTATTATTGGGTAATTAAAGGATCATCATCATCATCATCAACAAAATTGATCAATAATTCCTACTGGATCATCTCGGATCAAATCGGATTTTGTGTATGGATCATTGTCTTTGTTGTTGTTTTGATTTTTTTTTTATTCGGCACGGGTATGATTTTTACACCATTTGAATTTGATTTGTTTTTTTCACAATTTCTCTCTCATTTTTTTTAATCTTCACTTCACTTAAGAACCAAAAAAAGATTTGGTTTGAATTGAATTAAATTGTTTAAAAAAAAAGATAGAACCCGGCATCTGCGGTTTTCATCACACACCAGCAATCATCAAACATGAACGACAACATGGCTAGAAAAAAAAGAAGCGCCTCACTGAGATTTCTTCGTTTTATCACCATCATCATCATATCGTTGTTGTTGTTCCATAATGATCCATGATCCATAAATCCCTAGGATGTATGTGTGTGTGTGGTGATTATTCTTCAAGCACTTTTTTTGGCCATCTTTCTTTCTTTTTTTTCACAATATATAAATAATCCTTGCCTTAATCCTTTTTTAGTGTTATTTGGTTGTTTGTTTGTTCATTTTTTTAATGCTGATTTGATTACAATGGCTTAAAAAAAGTAATGTAATGTGTGAAAAGACCCAAGATGTGTTATAAAAGATTTATTTTGGTTTTTAAAATTTTTCTGAATTCAATCCTGTAATCGATCGATCTGTTTGTTTGATTTGATTTGATTGATTGGTAATCACAAACAGACCATCATAATCAAACATTTTTTTTTTTTTTTCGTTTTCCAAACATTCATCATGATTTCATTTTGAATTGTACTGACTGACTTTTTTTGCACCAATTTTTCTTCTAAATATTTGTATATCACTGATACTATCTTTTTGATCGATCAGAACAAATTAATCAAATCAAATCAATTGTGATTGACAAATTTGTATTGTAATCACTATTGTAATAAGTACTTTATCGAACGCTAGTCTGCAGATCAAGAGGTGTCAAATCTTTGGCAAATAACAAGAAGAAAAAAAAATCCAATTTTTTCTCGATCAAAATCAATATTTGATTTTGTTGTTGTTGTTGTTGCTTCACTTTTTTATCACACCACTCAAAAATATGTAAACCAATCTATCGTCATTGAACAGATATACAATCATAATGTTATTGATTGATTTTTGGTATTTGATCATTATCGGTGGTAACAGTAGCAATGTGCGTTTGATTTTCAGGATGCACAATACATTCTTGAGCAACAGCAACAAAAAATGTTTCTTTTATCGATTCAAGAAAAAAAAAGACATTGGATTAGATTAGATTTTATGGAATTAACCACCATCATCATCATCATCATCAATGATAATAAACAACACAAGAACGCATTATAATCTTTGATCATCAATTGATGATAATTATCATATACATGTCAAATGCGCCAATTATTTACAATTCTTTTTTATTCTGGTGATCGAATAATAATGATATATGCGTGTGTGTGTGTGTGTGTAATACGAATGTTTGATTCGTTTTTGTAGTTTTTTTTACGAGAATTCGTAACTCATTGCTTTGTCTTTCTTTTTAGAATCTAAGAAAAATGAAAAGAGGTGATTATTATCATTTGTCACTGTCTAATTGGTGAAATTGTTTTTGTTTTGTTTTTGAAAAAAAAAAAAAACATTGTAACACCCAATTGAACAAAAGTCCAAAAATTCATCATCATCATCGCCAGCATTGTCAATTTGATGGTTGATTAATTGTGGCGCCATTATTTGTATTTTGGAAAGCGAGATATTAATAGAGAGAGAGAGAGAGCGAGAATGTGTGTGAAAAAGCAGGCCAGGGATTAATAATGGATTTTCTTTTCATTTTGACATGATCTACATTTTTTTTAATCTCTTTTTTTTCTCTCTCTTAATAATCGATAATCATACAAAAAAAATTTTTTTTCCATTTCTTTTCTTAATATCATTAACACAATGGAAATATGTACCATCTTAATACACGTAATACAGGTAGCTCAATATGATGATATATTAATGGTTATTGTGTGTTTTTTCTTGTTTTGATGAAAAGAAATTTTCATTGATAAATTCTTTGGGGAATTTTGTTTGTTTTTTGTTTTTTGATTGAATTTTCACTAGTTCCCGGTTCGGAATGAATCACAATTGAAGCACAATGAACCCTTAACAAAAATGACGGAAATTTTTTTTTTTTGTTTGTTTCTTGATTGAATTATGACAATGTAATGTAACCCTTTGTTTGACATGTCAAATGTCATGTATTTTTTTTTTTTTTTTTTTTGGTTTTGTATAAAAATTGTAATTAAAAAAGAAACAAATTCATCGATCAAACAGCTTGCCGAGAACAAAAAAAAAAAAAAAATTTAATGGCGCCATAATGACGGGCGTCTTACTAGTCTACTATTAGCCGCATTTAGACATTCAATTAGTAAAAATTTTGATTGATTTATAACACCAACAATTTTTTTACCCTTATTTTTAGCAATAATTTACACACACACACACACACAAAAATGTATCTAATGCAATAGGAAACACATACCCTAACTCTTGGTTCAGTCAATGATGTCCAATTGGCAATCTCTTCCCTTGTGGCCATATCTGGATAACGATTTCTTTGAAATGTTGATTCAAGCTCCTGTAATTGTTGTGATGTAAAATGTGTACGTTGTCTTCGTGTACGTTTTTTATTATTATGATTTTTACCACCACCGCCACCACTATTGCCACCAATAATACCAATAGGTGATAATTTATCATCCATTGAACCATCGGATATGTCACCAGTATCCGGTTGTTGTTGACTAGTATCTGCCAAACTTTGTAATGGTTTCTCCATAGTCGTTATTGTTATTGTCGTTGTTGTTGCTGCGGCTGCTGTTGTTCTTGTTGTTGTTGCTGCCGCTAAATTCAATGATAATGATGATGATGAACTGGAATTTGATTCGGCTAAAAAAATCATCAAGAAACCAAAAAAAAAAAAAAAAACAAGAATGAAATTTGATACGATTTTCTTCAATTTTTTCTGGTTAAATTTGTCTCTCACTCTCTCTCATTTCATGCAGTCTAAAGCTACCGACTTTTGTCAACACAAAGGTCACAAATTTCAATTTGGTCAATTTAATATTAATCATGCGGTCTATATAAATGTTTGAAAACCATGAATGACCTTCCGATGACCTAGCGACGATTGTGTGTATGTGTATTCAGTTTCTATGTGTGTGTCTGTTGTCTAAATATTTTTTTTAAAAAAAGAGAGAAATCCCTTAATAGCCCGCACAAATATAAATGTCATTCTTGAACATTTCGAGTGACAACAAAAAAGAATGATAATTTTACCGCGTTTTGATTTACCAGGCGATTCAAGTAATGTTGTTGTACTTGAACAAAGTTGTTGTTGTTGTTGTTGTTGATGATGATGATGATATAATGGTGATGTAAAATGTTGAAATAGATTCGTGGATCCATTCATTGAAATCATTGATTGCTGTTGTTGATGTTGATGTTGATTTAGATGTTGATTTTGTTGTTGCTGATGATGTTGTTGATGATAATTTGAATGATTCAAATGATGATGATGTTGTGGTTGTTGATATTGTTGTTGTTGTTGTTGCTGCTGCTGCTGCTGTTGCTGTGAATGATGAAGATATGAATTTGATCCATTATTTTGATGATGATGCGAATGATGTGTTGTTGGTGATTGATAGTCATTTGTATTGGTCATAAATGATGATGATGAATTTGAAACAGCTGCAGAAGGTGTAGTTCCTGTAGGATTTAAAAATGATGTTGCCGCAGCCGCTGCTGCTGCTGCGGCCGCTGAACGCATTGTTGCATATGATGATAGATGAAATGGTGTTGCTGTTTGATATGGTTGTATGGCTGCGGCTGCTGCTGCTGCTGTTTGATGAGAATGTCCATGATGAATCTGTGCCATTGAATGATTGGTTTGTGAATTATGATGATGATGATGTGAATGTGTATGTGGATGTTGATGAGGATGAGGATGATGATATGGTGTTAACATTTGATATGCATTCGATAATGACGATGATGATGGATGATGTGTCGGCGATACAGGTGATGTTGATGATGATGAGGATGATGATGCTAATAACAATGATGATACACCTGTATTATTATTCGTTGTTGTCGTTGTCGTTGTTGATGTTACGGCTGCCGATGATGATGATGTAGCCAATTGTAATAATGATGATCCAACTGGACTTTGACTTGTTGTATCCGGTAATTGTATTGTCGGTTGTTGAATTGAGTTTGAAAATGATGACGATGTTGTTGATGGTGATGTTGAACCTGATTGCTGTTGTTGATGAATATGATGATGCGGTGTGGATGTTTGTTGTTGAAAATGTGGATGATGATGATGTGGATGATGTGAATAAGGTGATGGATGTGACTGTTGTTGTTGTTGATGATGATGTGACATTAATACCGGATGTGGATGATGTTGCGTATGATTTGACATTGACGCAAACATTGATGTACCGGTTGTTCCCGGATGATGTGAATGTGGATGCGAATGATGATGATGATGATGATTAGCAGCAGCAGCAAAACTCATACTAGCTGCTGATATTTTTGATAAATCACTAAAATCCATTAATGTTTCCGGTGGTAATTGTTCCATCATCATTGTTGTTGATTATTTCTGAATTTTTTCAATAAAAAAAAATCGTAAAAAAAATGATACACCAACACTAAAAACACACAAATCACAGATATAGAATATTAAATGAAAACATCAACACTTTTCACACACACACCATACCCAGAATAAAGAATCAAAATGAACAAATTTTCATCAAACAAATTCTATACGATCAGAATTTAGGAAAAAAAAAAGTTTTTGTACTGATCATCATCATCATCATTATTATTATTATAATCATCATGTTCATCACTATTTTACTCACGAATTTTCCAAAATATTTATTTTCTGTTCTCTTTTGGATCTGGTTTTGTTGATATTTGCTTTGATCATTGTCGATGATGCATCAACCAACAACGATAACAGCAGCAGCAGTAGTAATGTTGAATGCAAAATGTGTGTGTAACATGGAAGAAACGAAAAAAATTAATTTTTTTTTTTGGTTTGGAGTCTGCTCACATAATTTGTATGCGTGCGCGCATACTTACTGATAACGGAGAAAGCATATACATATCACACATATGTGTTGAAAAAAGTGATAGGGGCGTAACCTAAAACATTCAGAATTCATATGACCAAAACACACATACAAGGTTTATATGAAGGTGTGGCCAATCATTTTGAATGGCCAATCAAAAATGATTTTTTTTTGTTTCACCATGATTTTCATTCGTATTGAATTTTTTTTTTATCTTCCCAGAAATTACAACAAATTCTGTATCCATCCAGAATCAATGATGATGAAGAATTTTTGTTGTCTTCACATTGCATAGATAGTGTGTGGATGCTGAATCTCATCAAAAAAATTTTTCATCATCACCATCATCATCATTGTTGTTGTTGTTGTTTTTTTTCTGCTTATTTTATTCGAACCATAAAAGATACAAAACAAACAAACATTTGGCCATTGTCCATGTCTAAAATGAAATGCAGCACAAAAATTGCAATTGGATTCTCATTGTTTTTTTTTCGTTTTGTTTCGTTTCGTTTACTTACTTTATTTTATATATGAATTCCAGGATATTCTAGGATTCAATTCAATTTTGAAAGCCATCACCATTATTATCAGAAAATAGAAATAAGAACAACACACACACACAGACAGACAGACACTGGTGTAGATTAGAATCCAATTATATTTTCAACAATAATAAAAGAAAATAATCATTTTTCTTATTCATAATAATGATGATGATGATGATGATTTCTATATCTGCAACAACAACAACAAAAAAAAAATCGCGAGAGGATTTTCATTTATATGAATAAAAATGTTTCAACATTTTTTTGTTTTGTTTTGTTTTTCGGTCTTTGGATATAATGAGAAATTGATAAAGGACGAATCATTCGATAGTATCGTCACAATCGAAAATTGTCATTCATGTTTGAATTGTATATATTGTACAAAGTGAAAATGAATGAATTCATCAATAAATCAATGTTTCACAAACACCAGTGATACAGGAAAAATGAGATTTTTAAATCCCAAACATCCAATGTGAATGAATTTGAACAGATTGAACTAAACTGAATTTAAAAAAATTTTTAAACAAGCTCAAAAGCTAATTTGATATTCCCGAAACCGAAGAAATTTTTTTTTTTTGTTTCTGAAAAAAGTTTGCTTGGGTCAAAAAACACACACACACACATCCTATGGTCATGGTTCTGACCATCACAGTAGACAACATATTGGACAGCTATGAATGAATGAATGTGTGTGTGTGTGTGCATGTGGACATTTTGAGTAGAGGTAAAAGATGGTTAAATCCACTTTAATCCCATTTCCAGCGCGTATACATTTCATTCATTCATTCATTCATTTTTCTGGCTACTGGGCTTTTATTTTTCTTTTGAAAATTTTTTAAAGATTTTTTTTCCTGAATGACACGAACAAATCGTCAATCACTGTGTGTGTGTGTGTGTCACAAAAAAAAAACAAAAATCGAAATGATGAAAATTCATCAATCAAACTTCATTCCATTGCAGGTGGTTGATATAAATAATTTATCATCATTTTTTTCACGAATTTAAATTCATTTTTGTTTTCACTTTTTCTTTCACCATAATTCCATGATAATGATGATGTCTACATGATGAATCCATCATCATCATCTTATTGGATGTTGGCAAATATTATCACTGTATGATTCATTTATATATATATGAATGGCCCCCATTTCTATTTTGAATATATATACCACCTATGGTGAATAAATACGCACACACACACACACACAAAGTCAATATTGGTCGGTGGTATCTATTATTACCAACTAATGATTATCGGTAAATCGAAAATGTTGGTGATCAGCAGAGAGAAAATGAAATTTCAAAGAAGCAGAGTGGTTGTCACCGTCAAATAGTGCTTCGAATCAAGATGTTTATCATTACATTTGATGAGGGACCAGCGTTGATGAACCTGGATTTCCACTGGTGGATGGAATTTGTTGTTGTTGATTGGATGCTGGTGGTTTCTCACAAATTAAATATGAATGTTGACCTTGACATATTTGGCATAATTTTAAGGAAACAGCCTTGTGTTTGATAAAGATTTGTTGATATAAATAATTTATCATCATTTTTTTTTCACGAATTTAAATTCATTTTTGTTTTCACTTTTTCTTTCACCATAATTCCATGATAATGATGATGTCTACATGATGAATCTATCATCATCATCTTATTGGATGTTGGCAAATATTATCACTGTATGATTCATTTATATATATGAATGGCCCCCATTTCTATTTTGAATATATATACCACCTATGGTGAATAAATACGCACACACACACACACACAAAGTCAATATTGGTCGGTGGTATCTATTATTACCAACTAATGATTATCGGTAAATCGAAAATGTTGGTGATCAGCAGAGAGAAAATGAAATTTCAAATCAAAATCAAACTATATGAGATCTACATATAATAAAATACAACACACACACACACTTATTTGAATTTTTTTGTTTTGTTTTAGAATCATCATCATCATCATCAAGCATCATATGATGATGATCATGAACACTATTCCTGCTGTTTTCTTATTTGATTTTTGTTTTTTGTTTTTGTTGTCATTGAATTCTCGATACATAAAAAAAAATTCCATTTGAAAGAATTCTTCCAATGGTTTCCAGTTGGATCAATGATTTTGGGTTCTGAATTAGTGAATGAATTTATAATTTAACGAAGAAAATTTCAATACAAAACAATGTCACACAATAGCCGTATTTGTAAAGTTTCTTCTTCTTCATTTTTTGCTCGTCGAAACATTATTCTTCAAGAATTTCTCCAAGAAACAAAACACACAGACAGACAATAATAAATATTTCGACCATTCTACGTAGAAAAAAAAATAAAATAACGACAACGAAAACCAACAACCAGAAAAAAAGAATTGAATCGATTTGAGAAATATCTGACAAATGTGTCAAATCTCTACGTTTTTTTTTGCTGTTTTTCACTATCTTTTTTCGCTATCCACGATGATGATGATGATGATGATACATTTTGCCAGTCGTTTGTTTTCCACCACCGCTACCACCATCATCAAAGTCGATCCAAAATTCTCAACAACAACGAAAAGGAAAACGAAAAAAATTTTTTCCAAATGAACCAACCAAACGAATGGCAATGATGATGATGATGACGAAAACGAAAACGAACAAACGATGAAGAAAAAAAAATTCTAACTACGACGAAGAAGAAGGATTAACTAGGATTAGTTGGTAGTAGAGAAAAAGAGACAGTAGAACAGAGAAAAACAGCCACCAACCAACCAACACTACTACCATCATCAAATGACGAACGACGACGACGATGATGATGATCATCATCATCGAATAGCATCCACAGGACAGAATAATAAAAGTACTACCCCCTTCATTTCCCCATCATAGAACGAAAAAGGAGGTTCATTCTGGAATCCGAAATACGCTATATATGACACATTTGGCCCGTTTTTCCATTTGTGTTTCCATCTGATTCTGTAAATGTTTTTCTTTTTCTCTCTCTTTTGGAATGTTAGTGTGTGTGTTTGTAGATGGAAAAAAAAGAAAATTGGAAAAATGATGATGATGATGATGAGTTTGGACCGATCGTTTGTCGTCGTTCGTTTGAAAATGGAAATGAAACTATAGTAGAAAAAAAATGTCAAATGATTCTGTTTTTGTGCAAAACAAGTGCAAACAAACAAACAGTCAGTCAGAAAAACAATTCTGAATCTCTATTTTTTTCGTTGTATGTAGAGAGAATTATTCTCTGTTTTAGCATTTTATATAGTTTGGAGAAATGTGAAACTTTCTTGGGTGTTTGTGTGTACTGATGGTGGGTGTTTTTTTTCTGTCATTTTTGTTTTTAGTTTTTTTGTTGTTGTTTTCACTTTTTTGGTTCGAATTGTTTTATTATAGATTCACATCATAACCATTTTTTTGCCTA